GTAACTTAGTTTGAAACAAGTGAATGAGATTTGGTTGGATAAAAGTGTGATTCAAAAGAGGAAAATGAAGACGAAAAATATGATGAAAAGGAAAAAAAAGGATGAACAAGAATATTAACTTGATAATGATAACAGTGAATAGGCTTGGAATGAAACAAAATGTTATGAAAAGATTAAGTGTACTTGAGTTTGGAACGAAACGAAATTATCAGAATCCAATTCATCTGATTATTTGTATTATTATTTTCCATTATTTTCATTCTCAATCATTCGATATTAAAGTAATCTTGAAAGCCACAAGAAAAGGTGAAAGAGCCACATCATGAGACTGAAAAGTTGAAAATGAATGTTGAATATAAATTGAACAATTTAAAAACTCGAATAAATGAAACTCGTTTAGAATCGCAATCTTTTTGTTTATTTCAAATAAACTTTTATCGCTAATTATTCACTTTTATATTCTTTGGCGATTATCATGGAATCAACTCTTGGAATGCTTCAACTTTGAGTTTATTTTTTGGATTCAAGGTTAGCATTTGAAATCAGTTCGAAACTAAAAGTTCAATTTAATCTTCTCTCATTATCATCATAATCATCTTCATTTTCTCATCAAAGTTGATTTCACTTTCATTAAGCACCATTTCATGGTTCACATGATGATCAGATAAAATGGTTCAATTGTGAAAGTTCAATACTTGAAGGAATTAATAACAGAAGGTAAACCTGATGAAAGGTGAAATAATGAAAGGAATCAACTTGCAAGGGAAAATGAATTGAAATCACTTTCTTAACCTTTAATTGCTCACTATCAGTCGTTTCAATTAAACTCCATGTAAATTACGAAATTTTTCAACTCACTAATTCCATGAAATGTAACCTTTATAAGCAATCAACCAATTGAAATGCAAAGAAACTGCTTTTATTCACTTTTTCCTCAGTAAATCTCAACAACTATCATGTAAATTTATCGTTGATTAGTTTTTATTTGCATGTTAATTTTCACTTTGAGCAAACTTGATTATTCAACTTGAGCAACTCGTCACTCAGTTCACAAATGATTCCGATTGATCAAACAATAATATTTACTGAAAAAATTCATTCCATTTCATGTTTTGACCTTTTGTATGAATAAATTGACCAATTAAAACTCAGTATAAACAAAAAATGCGACTCAAATTCATTCGAAATCAACAGAATTAAAAGAGTTCTAACATTCTTAATCGAGTTTAGATGTTGACTCGCTATTATCATAACCAATGTAAACCTAACAGAATTGATAGAATAAAAGAAGTTCGAACATTTTTCCAAATCTGGTTTAGATGTTGATCTATCATTCGTAATGAACCAAAACGAACCTGAAAATTTGATTTTTCTGGTGAAAAGTTGCTCGATTTGATTCTTAATGATTAAAATGATAATATTATTCATGATAAAACAAGCAGAAAACATTCAATTTTTTCGAGTTTCAAAGTATCAGTTGTTGAGTGTTTGTAATTTGATTCGAGCAAATTCGTGAATTGATTTGTTGAAAAGTGTAACAATTAATAAGTTGATCAGCATAACGATGAAAATTTACTCTTGAAAGGTTCTCATACAAGTGATGATAACGATGAATTAATCACCGTAAATTCACTCGAGACCCTTAATTAGCAAGTTAAATGAGAAGCAACTTTCACTTAGCTCATTTCCTTCCCTAATTTGAATGCAAATTTTTTTAGTTTTTCTTCAGTTTTTCTTCATTTCATCGCCATGAATCAGCCAATGAATAATAGTTGACAACATGAAGTAAGGAGGGAAGAAAAAGTTTATCAATAAGATGATTAAAGGGAAAAAAGCAAGTCAACTTGAGCTTCTCTATTAACAATGTAAATATCTTTAATTCAATATTCACACTTGAAACTCATTTATCATGGAAAATTTTACACCATCAGTTTCATCAATTCCATCTTCTGTTTACTCGACTTTTCTTCCTAATCTTTTCATTCTTTTCAAATTTATATTCTTCTCTTGGTTGACATGAAGATGAACTCTTCTTGCCTCAACCTGGGAATGAATTTTTCAACAAATGGATCATGATAATATCGAAGTGATGATAATGATATTCAATAAAAATTCATTTTCTTTTTTGCCTTTTTTCTGTCCAATTTCATTCCATTCCATTGAATAAAAGGTTGACGAAAAGCTCTTTTCTCATTCACTCCCTGGAATTGCAAATGATATCAAGTTTATGATAACTTCAATGATAATTAGTGATTCATAAGGTTTCGATGAACAACCAGATTGTCACTCAAACAGAGAGAATGAGGTGAAAATTGAATGGAAACTGTCGAGTCGAATGAATCCAAATCGAGATTAATCGTGAAAATTGATGTAAATGCAGAATTAATCGAGTTTTGTAACATTGATCATTATAATTATCATCTCATTAACTGTTGATTAGAAAAAAGCATTTTTATTTCAATTCCTTTGATGGAAGATTGGATAATGGTTATTCATTGCAACAGCATTCATTCAATCCGAATCTTTTCATGGAATCTTCATTTTCCATTCAAATAGTAACTTTAACATTTCATTGAAGTTGCTTGTAAAATCGCAAAACTCAGCTTCTATCTTGCTTCTTGATAAACCATTTTCAATGAAAAGCTTGAAAAATGAAGAACACTTTGCAATTATATTTTATTTACGATTTTCTGGTGAAAAAACATGGATTTTCAGACGAAAAACAATAAACTTTAATCCTTCCTAAGCGTCCTTTTTCATCACAAATCAAAGAGTTAATCTCCAGCATTTAGTGAATCTTTTCAGTCCATTCAATAAACTCTGAGAGGAACATAAACGTTAATTGATGGTCATTCATCAGATTAATGATGATAATAAATTGTGTTTCAATGTTTATTTTATGAACTATTTAATAATCCTCAGCATCCAATGTCTACCATTTTTACCTGATTAGAGGTAAATCATGTCCAGAACGAATCGCAATTTCATTTCTTGTTAACATGAGAAGTGAAATGTAAAATTTTTGTAAACTTAAATGAATCAATTTAGATATTAACACAACTTTCAAACAATTTACATCAAATGCTTCATATTTGAATGGAAATTGCATTTTATTTTACATTAAAAATGGATTCATTGATGAAACGATTCAAGTTTTAAGCAAACAAAATCATTTTTCATGTTTTCTTGTTTCGAGTAAAATGCAAAATTGACTTGTAATGCATTACCAAAAGTTGAGCAGCTTTAAAATCTAAAAACACTTTATTCGGCTGAATATTCATCAATCAATATTCAGGATTCTTATCCACTGCCAATATCGAGTGATAATATGAAGGAAAATCCAGAAAGTGCCGTAAATAGTCTTCAAGAGTAGAAGGAAAATGTTTCGAGTTTTTGGATCAATGATTATGGAAACAATTTAAACTGTCAGGGCAAAGACAAAGGTTTGATTGCAATCAAAGTGATTACCTAAAATTGTCGATTCAAAGTCGACTAACCATTTTGCAGCGCTTCTTGTTGAGTCCAAAGTTGAAACTATTTTTACTCTTCGATATTCTGCAACTTTATTGTAATGCAATTTACTGTTGACTGGCAAGCTTAATAAGGCAACAAGAAACCCATTGGAACGAAATGGGCACAAGGAAAGGTTAATCGTGCGAAGAAAATTTTGGTTTCTTGAAAAGTCTTTTCTGTTGAACCAGTGAATGTCAATTTGAATTTATCATGAGACATGAAGTTTTTCTGTTCCGCTGTTCTTACCTTCTTCGCCTTCTTTGCCTACTTTACATGATCAACTATTATTAATAGCCAAGTTGCTCAGTTGATGGTTAAAGGCTTACCTTGTGCCTTTGTGTTTACGACTTTAACCAGGCTTACTATTAACAACTAATATCTTTATTTGTTTCAAGTGTTAATAATATGAAAAAGAATAATTTGCTATTCATGTTGATATTGATTTTCGAGTCTTTTTTGTTTCTTTTCTTTTAGCCAATTTAGCGATTTTTTGCATTCCCTTCAACTCAATATTGACTTTAATCAATCATCATTTTTACTCAACACAATCACTGTCTTTTACCTGCCTTTAGTTTGCATGCTAATCAATCAATCGAGACAGTAAAGGGTTCGAATTGCCATTGCTTTCTTATTATCCAACCACTTTATTGTGCATCGAATTGTTGCTGCAAAATTAACTCAATTGTTCACCATTTCACTTGAAAAGTAATTCAATGCAAATTTCGTTGTAATTTAGTAAATTGCTTTAAAGGTAAAGGTTGAGACTATTTATTCACGGAATGGTTAGAAGAGCAGAGAATTGAAAATTTTACTCAATTTTATTGCATTTACTTACTCTTGGTTGATCTGAAAGACAATAAGTTTTATAGCCTTTATTAGAGTTCAATGTAAATCTGAATAAAGTTGATTATTTGCTGCAAAATGGTTATTCTTTATGGTTGACTAGTTTATTAATCAACAGATCGAAGCTACTTTTAAAGTTATTTTACTCTTGGTTGATATGGATAATGGGTTTTATGGTTAACCACAATAACTTGGTTTATGCTTGCAAGGTTCACCCGAAGGCAAGTTATCGAGGTATTGATTTTCGTCTTTTGAGTTAACACTTGTGAACAACATCAACATTTCATTTGTAAACTCAATGATTCTCTCGAGTTCAATAAGTAAATTTTAACGCAATAATTTGACAGAAAATGGTCTTTAACGATCAAATTTTTCGACTTTTTCTGTTCAAAGTGATTATCATCTTTTACTATTGCTTTTAGCAAGTTGAGAAGCATTTTCTTGAGGCTGGAAATGAAATTCTTAGCACTTTTTTATATTCAATCTTCAATGGTTCTTGGCTTTTGGAAATTATCATAAATCTTGAAATGATTTAACTTTGCTTGCAGGTTAACAGCAATTTAATCTGCAATATTCTGTTTTAAATGTAGATTCGAAGTGTGACAATTGAATGTTAACTTTTGCAATTCTTTTCTTTTTTACAGATTAACTTTGCTGCTTTCATGTGCCATGAAATTTCAATCTTATCCTCATGATACTCAAACCTGTGAACTTAAAATAGAAAGCCGTAAGTAACTAAAAATGCACTTGCAAACGCAAAATGCAAACAAAACTGTTTGAATTATTAATACAAAGTTGATTGTTTAACATCTAGTTTCATACACAATGGATGATCTTATTTTTGATTGGGAAACTGAATCGCCGTTAGTTGTTGAATCTGCAATTGAATTGCCTCAACACGAGTTGGTTGATTACAAATTGGCCGATTGTAGCCAAGTTTATTCGTCTGGTAAGTAATTGTTTCCTAACTTGCATTTAAACAGTTCTGGGTCACAGTTTTGCAGCAAATAACAAATCAATGAAGTTTCTTTTAGGTTTAAATAACTTTCAGTTAGGATTTCAGTCTCAATCAGTTTCGTTACAGCATTCTCTTCGATAAACAAACAAGCAAACAGCACTTTTATAATCTTTCTATTCCCTTTTCAATGCAAATTTTCTTCCCACAACAGTTCATATCGCATCTTACCAAACAAGCAAAAATTGTATCAATTTTTCTGATCGAGACAGGAAATTTTGAAATGGTGTAATTCATCAATTCAAGAAACTTGTTTTGTTCCCAAAACTTGACAAAAACAATGAGCGAGCTTAAGTGATGAACTTAAAAACTATTTGCATTTTCTGGTTAAATGTTGAACAACTGAATTTGTTTCAACAAAAAGTCTCGGAAACTGTTCGAGAATACTTGAGTTTAAGTGTTCTAATATCAACAGATTTTAATGTATATCCATATGTCTATGGTGGAATTACACACTGAAACACATCTCGGAATACTCGATATTATCTTCATATTTTGCTTATGAATACATGAACTCTTTAGTGTTTTAAAACTTCATTTTCATCAAAACCCATAGCTTCAAGAGTAAAAAGCAAAAATCTCTTCTAGTTCTTCTTGATAATTGATGTTAATCCAAATAATGAACCATAAATTTCGAATGAATCAACTTGGGATCTTTTACTGTTCATAACTTAACCTAATTCATGTCAAGAGCAGATTAAGATCTTAAAATTTATCGAATCTTAATGCAAATTGGGTTCAGTTCCGTATAAAAGTTTAAATGAATCGAGCTTTTCCTTTACTTCGCGAAAAAAGCAAATATACAAATGTCAGTTAGCAACAGTTGCAGTTATAATTGTTGAAATGCAAAGTTTAATTTAATTGTGAGAATTCTTTTCCTTCTCTTGTCCAGGAAACTTTACTTGCGTTGAAGTTGTTTTCACATTGAAACGTCGTCTTGGCTATTATATATTTCATACTTATATTCCTACCTGCCTTATCGTGATAATGTCTTGGATCTCCTTTTGGATCAAACCTGAAGCCGTGCCTGCTCGGGTAACCCTTTGTGTTACCTCACTATTAACCTTAAGCACTCAACATGCTCAATCTCAAAAGTCACTTCCACCCGTCTCTTACATCAAGGCAATTGATATTTTCATGTCTTATTGTACGATTTTTGTATTTGCCTCGCTCATGGAGTATGCACTGGTCAACATTTTGATGACTGCCGATGAAAAATTAAACTCAATTCCAACCACAACAACAACAACGACAAACATTTACCATCAACCCTCTCTACGAGCATCAACGGCAACAGGCAACAACGTTCCAATAGTCAATGAAAATTCGACAAAAGTAAGTTTCTTTTCGAGTCAACCATTTTCGCTCTTATTCATCTTCTAACTCCAACCATTCTTCTCATTTCTATTCTTTTTTGCTCATGTTCCTTGCAGATTCGAACCAATAGTCGTCGAGGTAGTTTCCGATCGTCCGTTTTCGTCAAAAGACGTGATCGAGCTTTAATTGTTGACAAAGTTTCTCGCTGGGGATTCCCGTCAACCTTCGTCTTATTGAACATTGTTTATTGGTCTGTTTACTTGGACTGGAGCTAACAATGAGAGATCATCGGTGAACTCGAGAAAAAGTGACGAGAAAAAAAAACAGTTCAACTCTGAACCATCTCAACATTAATACCATTATTGCCATATAATTGTTATTACCTAAACATAAAGAAAATAAAATTAATTCTAAGCGCATTTTTGAATCACTTACTTGCCATTATTACCAGTAAATGATTTAGTTTAGCTAATGATCAGAGTCAATTTATCTCTTTGAACATTTAGTCTTTTAATGATTTAATGAAACACACAGACAACAAAAAAGACACCACTAAGAATGAGTTAATTACTGAAGCAATTCTTCCTTTAAACCAATTCAAACTCCTCGTAATCATCGAGAAAAACAACAATAAAAATGTTTATAACCGTAATTACGAAAACACAGACAATGATAAGTGTATTGCAAGATTCAGCTCTTCGAGTACGACCATCATCATTGAGGTTAAGTCGAGCTGAAAGGAGCAATGCAATACCGACCAAAATCTGCAAGCCAATGGAGGTTAAAACAAGAGTCAAATTGATCAGTTTAAAGGTTTCACCCCAAGAGGTAAAGTCAACCTGGAAAGGCCATTTGTCCACCCTTGAAAGGATAAACTTGAGCTGGGAAAAGTTGGCCGTTAACAGAGCAATATCAATCAATCCTTGGGAAATGTTTTTCTTTGCTGCATACAAATTGAAGTCCATTGTGTGCTTAATTGAACCATTATTGTTGACAATTAGAGGCGATGATGGGTAAACTTGATTAACAGATGATCCAACCAATGGTTCAAGAACTTCCATGTCAATTGTTTCACCAGATTCTTCTGCATCCTGCAAGAGCAAAGAGCAAATTTAAATGCTTTTCGTTTGAAATAAAGAACCATTTGCAACAATTAATTTCCTCAAATTAGTATATTTTCATGTAAATGTTTAACTTGAATGGGAATGAAAAGATGAAAATCTCAGGCAAACAATTGAAACAAAAGATTTTCTCTTTTCCCTCATTTAATGATCGCAAAACAAAATTCATGCAAAATTGATTTATGAATAACAATTGACTAAAACTCATAATCATTAAACATTATGTCAAGTTGTTCAATTATGGGTTGCATTTGGCTTGCCAACAATATTTATAGTTAATCGATTAAATTTAATTGAGCCAATTTTGACTCTATTTTCGTGCTTCTCTTCATCTTTACTTAACTTTCAAAATGACCAATTAAAATGGTCAGTTGAAGAAGGAAAATGTTTATCAACTAAAAATGCTCATTAACAATGGACTTTTGGTTTATTCAGTTTCATTAAAATTATTGTCATCAACATTCCGCAGATTCAACTTATTATACTTCCAAGTAAATTATGCTTTACGATTCAAATTGACACTAAACTTTACAATAGAGTTGAATGTTCATTTGGCCAAACTTTAGATCAATAATTGCTATCAAAGTGTAATCATGTTAATTGATGAAAGATGATCAAAGGATGTTGAACAATTGAACCAGTTTTTGAGTTATTTTTACCCAAATTGGGTGTAGTTTTGATTTAATAACGAAATGGAAATGAATTCATTTCAATTGCGTGTTTTAATCTGAATTATTATAGTCTGTGCATGATTAACCAGTCTCAAAATGAAATTAAATCTGTCTGTTCGAAGACAATTGTTCTTGAAGAAAAATAACAAATTGTTACAATTAATTGCATTGACACACCTTCTAAAGCTTAAATGATGATTTAGTAGACTATTAATCTTCTCGGTGATCATCAATTCATTGTAACCTGGTCTTACCTCGGATAAGTAAAGCATCTTTGGGTGAGTTTCAATTTTTAAAGCGTCTTTCATGGTTGACGAGGATTTGTTTAGTTTTTTCAATTTTTTCTCGATCTTTGCATTCTTTTTCATTGGCAGCGATTGTAATGGTAATGCTGGTGGTGGTGGTGGTGGTTGAGGTATTCCTTGAGATGCTACTTTAGGTGTAGCTTGGGTTGTTGCTGGTGACATTGTTGGACTGTAATTTGATTCACCGAGAAAACTGTTTCTCAATTTTTTGTAGCTCTCACCTTTTGGTTGATCAATTTCACTGAAATCACTTGTTAATTGACGATTTGATTGTTTTCTCAAATCAACTGATGCTGTTGTTGAAGTACCTAAACAGTTACCAATGCAAGGCATCACGATTAATCCTTGACTGATCAATGTTCATGCAAATTCAAGTGTTTCCTTCAGGTGAACACTGATGGTTAACACATCAACACACGTTTACAATTTCAGGGAAAAACTTGATTCTAAGAAAAGATGAAAGTCACAATTTGAAAGGTTAAACACACTGACACTGATTATCCAAGGTAATTAAACAATTGTTGGGCAAAAATTGAACGATAATGAAGCTTCTTTCTTGTTCTCATATCAAAAAGCGATCACTTGGCACCGGAAATTATTTTGTTTGTAACCCTATTTGGGCAAATGTTGAACCGTATTTTGTGTTGTTCATCAAATTACCCGAAACTGGTTGAACTGCCTACACAGTTTAGGCTCAGGCCAATCAGTGTATTAATATAATAATTGCTATTGACTAAATGTTGATTAAGGTTTCTCGAAGCACAAACCTGGGTGTTTGCATTTACCTAAAACATCTTCAAGTAAACTCTATTGTAGACTGTTTGATGACCTCAATCACAATTAGTTAATAAAAATAACATTTACAATTAAATGTAAATCAAAGAAAGTATATCATGAAACCTTCACTTGATTATAAAAGGAATTATTTTTGGATAAAAATCGCTGGAAAATTTTGGGTTGATACCCATTCTTTGAACCAGAATTTGAACCAGAACCAAATTTTAAAGCATATTTCATGTTTTATTTTGTAAATTGCTATGAATGTCAACCTTTTCCAGAGATTTGAAGCTTTTTTTGGTGAAAATGAATGGTTGATGAACTATTAATAATCTGGTTTCTGGTTCTTCTCAGTCAACCCACGTTAAGATTAAAAGTCGTTCAGGTTGCTACATGGCAACTTTTTAGCCCACATTTTAATTCAACTATTATTGTTACCTCTTTGCAATGATTATCATTATCATTATTTCATGATAAATTGATTAAAGATTGAAACCTGTTTTTTTCTCAACCAAAACATCTGACAATCCAAAAAGGATACCAAAATGATATCATGTAAACATCGCCTTTAGTTTAATTCAGTTGCTGTCTTTGATTTACTTCATTATTATCTGTGGTCAACAATTGGAATCATATTTTAATTTGTTTCCCTCATTAAACCTGTTAAAGTTGACAATATACGGATTTTCAGTTGAAACCAAAGTGAACCCAAAACAAAAGGAAAACAAAAAGCTCGTCTCAACCCAATCTTATTGTCCAATGAAAAGCTGGTTTAAAGAAACTGTTACAAGCAGATGGTTTCATGATTTCAGTTTTCTTGGTTTTCATGGTTCATGAAATTTCATCAATACAAAACTGTGAACAAAGGTAAGATTAAGAAAGAAATAACTGAAAACTCAATGAACAAGTGAAATGAAAAATAAAAATTTAGATGAAACTGGTTATACTCTTGAAGGTAAACAAATGGTAAAGTCTGGTACAAAATGAGTGCCATTTGATGGCCACAATTTGTTTAGCTCAAGTCGAATGCTCATCATTGTTATCAAATTTTTATATCAATTGTGTAAATGTGATAATCAGTTAATCGTAATCAACCGATTTAAAATAATTTGTAACAGTCATCTGTAAAAGTGTAAATACTGGATCAGTTGATCCTGGAGATTAACCTTTTCATTTGTGATTCGTGTGATGATAATCACTGTATGGATTCAAGAGCAAGTATCACAATTAATTTATCTAACAAGTTGATCCCGATCATAAGATCGACATTTCATTTGAACTCGAATTCAAAGTCAAAACTTCGATCTCCTTTTGGGTAGTTGAGGCAACAATTCCTTACACCCAACTCTTTACCCTTTACCCAAAAGACAGTTATCCTAACCCAATAATAAACCATCAACCTAATAACCAAAAATTTTTACCTAAACTCAATAGTTTAAAATACGGATTCTGCATCTTTACCCAACCTCTATTTCATGAATCTCTCGGAGATCTGAATTCTGAGATGAGTTTTCCTGTTTTTCGTGGATCTAGTTGAATCAGGGCTTTCATGTTGAGTAAATTTTCCTGAGTTTGACCATAATTTTGACAATAAAATTTTGATTCTTCGACTTTATTGTATTGTTGTACAGATCAAAAGGTTTCAGATTTAGATCGAGAAAATCAGATTTTGTAAATCTTAACAGTTGATTCAATGTAAATATAAATGCATTTTTGAGTCCCTTTTTTAACTCTCGAGTTATTGAGTCAACTAAATTGGCCATTGAAAGGTTATCAAGTGAAATTGAATTAAACGTTGGCTAATTTTTAAGGAAAATTTACTTTATTTGAATATTTTGTCCAGTTTAGCTGAAACTTGGTGATGTTTTTACAATAATGATAATCAGTTTACATGATCAATATGCTTAATGGAATAGAGTCTTTAACAAAATGAAATATCATCAAGTTTCACTCTTTAGACGAATCCATTTGATTCTCATGATATTTCATTTTGGCTCTTAATAAATATTGTGAACAGAAAAAATCTTTTCATTTTTTCCCTGTATTTTACTTTTCCGTTTTTTTTCCTCTCCGGAATCATTGTCCAAAATTCAGTTCAATCCCATTAGATAATGTACATTATAAAGAAACCTTTGAACATTTTTTACCTTTTCATTCTTTCTTCCTTTCACTCTTCTTACCTAACCATTATCATATTGGTTTTGATACATTATCAAAATTAAACTCTTACTGGCCATTTATTTATTAATCTTCATCTGTATTTCAAGTTGATACTTGATTGTCGTAAATCAATTGTTGATCCATTTGATTGAAGTGTTGCTTCAAAAGTAGTGTCACCTTCAATAACTGCCAGTCTATTTCAACATGAAGTTAACCTTTTGTTAAATGATGGATGTTTTGTTCAAAACCCAATCACTGATATTGACCCGTTTTTTTATTCCAGAACCAAGAAGAGGAATCAATGCTTGATAACTCTAGAAGTGGACCGTTAGAGGTTTCGACTGGTGTTTCTGGAGGTCATCTTCACCATCATCTAATCAGTGGTCCAATGTCGCCCGAACTACCCAAAAGCTCCAACATGCCAATGGATGTAAATATTTATGCGACCAGAAAAACGGTTGCTCAGGGAATGATGGATATCGCTCTGATGACGGCCAATGCTTCTCAGTTGAAATTCATTCTCATCAATTCGAGTAACCATCGATATTTTGCTGTTAGCCTTAGTTTGTTGACCATTTCAATAATCCTTCAGGTAAATGACAAGACTTTTGAAGTCAATTAACACCAATAAGCTTTACTTTATTACGATTTATTAACTTGATGTTTCCCCTTTTCAGATTGTGGTTGGAATCATCTTAATTTTCTTGGGTCGTTGGAATATCAATTTCCGTGGTGATCACCGGAAAGCTGAGAATGCCAATAATGCTGTTTTAATTCTCATCTTTTTGATAACCATTGTAAATATTATGATAACTTCATTTGCTCCAAATCCAGATGAGGGAAGGATTCTTGGACCCAATCCATCAATAACAAATTCACCTTGACAGTTAACTTTTCTGGTTTAACCAGAAAGATATTCAAAAGTCAGATACATTATACAAAATAAACTAGAGATCCATGCAACAATCACTTTAACCATTTCCATGTTTATACACTAAGGTCGGGATGAATATAAAAACAGATGATATTTGCGAACGAGGTTGTTGATTGAACTAGCCAAATGAAAGTGGGTTTACAGTTAGCTAATTGAACAGCAGGATAAACAAGCTCTTGTTGGTGGACAATTATAGGTGATAATTTGATTGTCTGTGCTAACTGTATATCTCATGATTGAAGGTAAAAATAATGGCTTCTTCTTGCAATGTTTATCCAGTTTACGGTGGGCTCTTGCTTTGTTAACTGCTATTTGGGGATCATTATTGTTGTCACCATCATTCTTGTTTATTAATGGCAATGATGAACAACCATCAGCTACAGTAACTCCTGTATTAACATGATTTGCTTCATCATTTCCATAATTTAGATTGTATCGATCCATTAGATGATCGTCTTCCATGTTGCCCTTCAACGAAGCTCTTGTTGATATTGAACTGTAAATCGGTTGATTGGTACGCTGTAAGCCCTTTAATGAATCCATTTCAGCCTCAATTATTTCCTCAGCCAGTGAAGAGACATTTAATATTATTGTTGCCGTTGATTTATACATTAATGATTCCGGTTCAGTGAAAGAGCCATTTGATCTCATCTTATCCTCATCATTATAACAATCACTTTCACTCTTGTTATCAAGGTTAAACCGAGTTAACCCAACATTAATCATATCAGGAGGAGTATGAGAATGATGATGGTGATTGCCATTAAGTTTGACTGATGATGTTGGTGACTTTAAATTAAACAACTGTCCATCTTCTCGGTCATTAATATCTTCATCTGGATCAAATGCTATCCGATAAATCAATGTGTCGTTAATTAATTTATCATCCAATAGATGACACTCAGAACGGTTGTCTCTCCTCTTTCCATACAAATCCTTAAGAACGGTTCTGGCTCGGTCAACAGCCATAGCTGGTTCTGGTTAAGTTTACCAGAAAACCTGTTGAACGACAAGTAAGGAACCAAATTAAATTAATACGATTAATTAATTTTGTTGACAATCATCTCAGTGTTTTTTTATTTTATAAGTTAATTAATGTCACAAGTTAAATAAATTAATAATAATTGTTTTGGTGTAAATTAGTGAAAATCAACTTACCTGCGAGAAGACAATGGCTGTTGGTGTAAAGGATCAGCTGGATCTTTGTCTTGCCCTTGTTTATGGTTAACTTTAATTATGTTTTAAAATTCATTAACTAGATCATTAGATCTCTTTTTTAACAATGATAGAGATGACTGTGATTTACATTATTCATTTAACACCGTACATCAACTACATTAACATGTTATGGCATCACTATCTGCGGTTAAACTGCTAAACAGTTAATTTACAACGATGTTTCATGGTTTTGTGTTCAAAGTTTTCACTTTTGGCAAGAGATTAGAGTAGGGAAAAAACACTCACCAAAACTATAATCTGTTATCATAATTACTAGGAATAAGAACTTGAACTTCTGTAAATATAATTCAAAGAAAAACTGTTCTCAGCCTTTTTCAATATGTTTATTTCAACCCTTCGTTGTAAGCTTTTAACCTAGAAAAATCTATTTTAAGGTTCAACTTAACCAATTTGTAAAAAATATTGAAATGGAGTTTAGATTATTGGACCTTTTGATTCGATAAACAGTTTGATCTAAAAAATCTGAAATAAAATTTTTTAATTCAAGCCAATTCAAATCATTAACGTATGAACTAAAAAATTATGGTTAAAAACGAAGCTTCGTTTGTTTAACACTCTTTACACTCAAAATTTTTCCGAGCTTCAGAGTGTAACAATTAGCTGCTCAGATGAATGGGTGAATGTTTCAAAGGTTTTACAAAATAGCGAAATAACATGAAAACGTTTCAAATTGTACATTTACATTTCTTTAATACAAATAAAAACAAAAGGAAACGCAGTTGAAAAAATATTTTCAATATCAAACACAAGATATGGATGGAGCTTGAAATGAAAAGCAAAAATGAATCTTGAATTTATAGTCAACAGATAAAAAATTAAAAATTAAATCACATTTAGTAAACAATTGCTTGTCCCTAATATGTGCGAATAACATAAAAAATTGATTTAAATTTGGCTTTTCATTATTACCATCAACATGATAATATATACACTCAATTCGTAAAAAACGGTAAATATCAGCTAATAGTGATTACATTGAATGACCATTATGATTATGCTTTGGGGGCAACACTTGATTTGATTCCTTCGTAAAACTCGCTAAATCTTTTGACGACTGTTCCTTTGAAGGCAACTTGGCCTGAAACGTTTTTCGGTGCTTCCCAGATCAACATGGCTCCTCTTTTGCCGCGTCTATCAGTGTGGGTTACTGATGAACAGGAATCATATGTTTTCAATCCTCGTCCAGGTAAAAATCTACCAATTGGTTTGTCAGTTGATGGGTCATAAGCTTGGATCATTAAACCTTTGAATGATTGACCTGTTAATGCTTTCAGGTCAACTGTAGGTTGAAGATGGAAAGCGAAAAGAAAGAAAAAATTGAAAGGTTAGTAAATTGTATGTTCAAGTTTGCTTTTCATCAAATATTTCATTATACATCTTAATCATGAAAAACTAATGTGATATTCAATGCAACATCTCTAATGATTTTGACACTGATAATGATCTTAATATGTTCATGGTAATCATTAAAGATGCTTATTATTATACATTATGTCTTATCTTTAATGAATAAGATTTAGCTGAATAGTTGAATAATTGTATGTAAATCATTGACTTTGTAAACAAATTATCTTGTAGTTCTGGTTGTGGTTTGATGTTTGATCAAATAATGAATGGTCTCTTATACATTTAAATTTAATGGTTATTCGTATGTACGTTACATTTCAATTGTAATGGTATAACTTCCGTTGATCAGTCAAGTTACCGGATAAACCTAAATAACCAGTTAACCGTGATACTGTTTGTATTAATAATGCACTATTATTTTAGTTTATTAGTGTTACTATTTAATGTTATTATTCAATCTTTTCAAGTGTCAAGGTTGAGTTTGGTTATTTCAATCATTTGTTGGAACAAAATAATACAAAATTGGTGACAAATTTCAAATGTTTAATGGTTGCAAGGTGATTGATATCGTTAATTTGTTGCAACTTTTCGCAATTTGAAAATTTGCAGCTAAACTATAAGTTGATTGAAATTTGATAGCAACTCGAGTAGAAATTAAATTTGATAAATTTGTGAGCAACTTAAAGTTGCAGCTAAAGTGAGTGATTGGATTTAATCTAATTGTCAACACTGGAATCAGATTTATTTAGACACATGCAATGAAATTTATGCATCGAGATATTAATAAAATGAAATTGTTTGACTGTCAAACATCCGAAGGAATTAAGTGTAATAAGTAAAACTAATTAGTGGCACAGTTTTGAGCAACAAATTTACTTTTGTCATAATTTATTAATCAAGTTAATCTATTTTTGAGTCTTAAAATATTTCATTAACAGGTTAACTTGACTGACAATTAATGAATTGAGAGTCTATGACAATGGGAATGAGAAAAAAGTTTTACCCAAAAATGTTAATTAAATTAAGCTTGACAATTAGTTTTACCAAGTCAATATGTTAAATACAGTAAACAACAAGGACTATAACTATTAGATTCTGATTTTTGTTCAAGATAATGAGCTAATGCAATCAATTAATCAAATCGGATTCAACTTACCTCTAACTTTTTCACCAGGTTGATATGTTTGATGGGATTGAGTTAAGGTGTAAGGTGAAGAGTCCAATGTTTTAGCAACATTTGCTCCATGAACTGGTCTTAAAGTTGAACATGTTTTTTCTGGTGCACCACTGGGCCATGAGTTAATTGAACTGACTAAAAGTGAAACAAGAGTTAAACAGGTAAAGATGAACATTATGACTGTAATGTTTTAACACGGTAAAAAAAAGAAAGGGTTATCAACAGTTAATGTACGAAGTTGTTGGACACTGAAAGGAAAACAATGTTAACACTAGCAGCTTGAAATCCACAAGTTTAATGCAAGAAGTGAACAGATGATAAAATGAGAAATCCAAATTGACCAACTAAGCTTTATTTTACTTATAATGTTGATGGCGAGGTTTAGAGGGATTAACTATTGATTTTTACTCGCGTTAACTGACTAACACTAGTCAACACCTATTCTGGCCTTGGTTACGAATTTAACAGGAAAGTGATTAGTGGCGAAAGGGAAGGCAGAGTGAAAGTGAAAGAGACAGAGAAAGAAGGAGACGAAAACGGCGACGATGATTGTTCATGTAAGTAAAGTCAGAAGAAGAGAAATACAAAAAGTGACTTAACTCTTTTTTTTCAAATGAATAAGACAAAAAAGAGGTTGGGAAATGGGTGTTTGTGTTCACTAATCAAATTATCCGACTGTTGTTTCATCACCGAGTCATAACCTTAGTATTTGGCTATACCTTTTCACGATTAATCAACACAATCAACAAAAAAACAACTAAAATTAAAATCTTTCAAAGCACATTGACAAAATAATAATGACGTCTTTCCGTTACCCTTTACCCTCGCTTTTTCAATTCATCCCCTTTCTTTTCTCTTTATTTCTTAATTTTTATTTTACTATTTTTTTTGTTAACAATTAAATCTGTAGCATGCATTTCTCAATGTGCATTAAATTTAATTTTGAAGGCATTAATATGCAAAATCAGTTAGAGGTTAATTACAATAGCAAATTTAACGCAACCATAAGTGCGAAAAATGAAAAAGCATTATGATTTTTACATCAAACATTATCAATATAATTACAATTAAACCTTGACCTCCAATTAGGTTTGACAAAAGATTTGACTAAGTCTTGCTATATTGTCATAATTTAATTTTCCAGCTTGATCCGACTTGACTTCATCATATGGTTGGATTGGCCTTTTCATTTTACTTGGTAATTCCCAACATTAATTTGAAGCCTTTGGAGGTTCCAATCAGTTTTAATTGCTTGGGTGGATGTACATTGATCATTGTAAACTTTTAATGGTTGATGGAACTGAGCGAGGTCAATCAAATCAAGTTGACCATCTTGTAAAGGGTTTCTTAACTTTCATTTGCACCAAGGTTGACCATTGATTCTGTATTGTATTGCAATCATCATCATTTTGTTTCATTGTTATGATTGTTTGAGTGTGTGTTGGTGATGATGTTAATAATCTTTAATGTTGATTATGATTGGTTATTTCATGGTTTGTAATGATGAAAGCCTTGCAATTGAAATGTTGATTGTGTTAAATGGAATAACATTTAATCAACAATTGAATTATTTATTTAGTCTCGCGTTGATTGATAATAGGGAAGAGGAAGATTTCGATGTTGATGAAGTGAATTGAACCAAAGTGCAATTTACTTTGACACATAATAATGCAAAACTGGATTTAATGAGGATACAATGCCATCCTTTAAAGGTAACTTAAAGTGTCCAGACACTTGTAATCATTGATTTCATTTCAACTCTATTGAATAACCAGCTGTTTGATGGTCACACGGTCATACCGGAGAAGGTAAGAGATTGAAGGAAAGCTCACCAAATCTCTTGATATTTCTTGATAATTAAGTTATTTAAAGTCTATTAACAAAACAATCAAGTTGAACCATCCATGAAAGGTTATTGTTATTATTGCCAAAATTGTGGCGGTGAACAGGAATGATGATTTCCTAAATGTTAATTCAAGGTTTTGCTAGGATTGTATTGAGGAATCAATCAGGAAAGCCAACGAGATTTCACAAAAACATTTTGATTGTATACTTCGAAGGTTGATTAACAGTTAATCATTGTTCTACACATTTTAATAGATAAATGGACACAGAGGTAAATCAATTTAATAATAAAATAACACTATTATTGTTATTATTTTTGGTAAATTAAGAAATGATTAGGTTAAAGCAAGATGAACAAGGTTAGCTTAGCCTCGGCTGATTCTAAGGTATGACTGGTAAAGTTTTGGACAAATTTTTCAGCATTGATTTGAGACAGTTAGACTAGACTCACAGGCACTATTAAATAATTAAATCAAAGGTAAACTTCTCAAGAATACGTCGTGAAAAAATTAATTGATTTTGATAAAAAATTATCAAGTTATGGCCTTAAATGGACAAAGGCGTCGAAGCCTGATTTTGCCCTTCGTTAAGAACCTTATATTTTCAACTTCATACCAGGGTTTTGAAGAATCGAAAAATGACGATATTTGGCCTCAAAGCTGTTAAAAAAGATGTAATTCGCCTAATATAACTCAACATAGACCGACTGAAAGGTTCAGGTCACTATCGAAGCAAAACTTCACAGAAATTCGGTAAAAGACCAAATTTTTTATCAATTCGAAATCAATTTGCTAAAAAAGGACTTCGATTTCGAATATCGAAAGGATTTTTGCACAATAAAAGACCGGAATTTTATCAACAGCAGCAAAGTTGACCTTCTGATCTTTTAATTCGGAATAATCGAATATTCGAAATCGAAGTCCCTTTTTAGCAAATTGATTTCGAATTCAAGAATAATTCTGTTCAATTCAATTCAATTATTTGTTCAATTATTTTCACTCGACATTCAACCTTCAAAAGGCATTTTAACTGATTGTAAATAATCTGACTAATATAATAACCGATCGAGTGATTAAAATAGCGACTGTTTGACCCACAAATACTAATTGTTTGAACAGTATTCACCAAAAGGTATACAATTTAAATAATTTTAGCTCACAGTAATTACAATGTTATTATATAAAGTTGACCAACAAAATGAGCTTACAAGTTAATACAGCTTATTGACCCTTAAATGATGAAAATTTATGGTTAACTGTCTTTCAACATTTGGTTGTTGAGTTATTCTGAGTAATGACTGATACTGATAAATGACTAATTAAATCTTGAACCAGTTTAAAATGAAATGAGCAATTAAATCAATAACCATTTTTGGTTTCGATCAATTATTCAACAATTAAATACTATTTGTCTTTGCTTTTGATCACTCATAAAATTCAAGGCAAAATAATTTAGTTAAATCAGGTCAATTTTATTTGAATTACGTTCCAATACAATATTTGGTAATCACTTAATTATCATCACTAAATGGTTTTGTTTAATTTACTATTACAATTAATCACTCTAGTCACCAACAGGATGGTCAACATACCAACCATACGAACCATGATCACCAGAATAGGCACCTAAGTCGAGCCACATGGATTCATCATTGTCCTCATAGTCATCACTGTAAATACCTTCAATTTTACTTCCAATCGGGCTTATTGTGCTATTACTAATTAAACTTTTATTCACCCCATCATTTGCTTCCAGGCTGCTTTGTCGGACAGTTGGTTGATGGTCATGATAATATTCAGTCGTTGGATTGATCAGATTACCTCGGAAATCTGTTTGTACTTGATCAGTTGAAATGGTTGTCGATGTTGAAGGAATCGCTGTAGCTGTCAATAGATTGTCATCCTCGGTGTGGTGTGAAGTTGATTTACAAACTGATAAATTAATCAATGGTAAACACAAAATCAGAATGGATATTACTGGATGACTTTTGAGCAAGCGAGAAAAGCAAAGGATCATGTTTTATCCGGATTAACTGGTGTAAAATACAGATTCAAGCCAAAAAGTTAAAGTTGACATTCTAAAATAAACTGAATGAAGATTCGTTTCGCTTTGTGCTTTGATTTCCTCAATGCCTGACCATTTAACCCTAAAAAAAAGGTACATCAATAGGGTTTATTTAATTAGTGAAAATATGTTTATACTGTTAATTGAAGTTTAATGTGAATCCTTTTTTCCATTTCATTGTAGATCGTTTTTTGTGCAGCTAAAATGTGTTCTTGTGGTAAAAAATCAGCAAAAAAAGCTCAACTTTAATCGATAAACAACTAATTAGTTTCAAAAATGGAAATAACAATCAACTTCCTTGAGTATCATCAAGCAACTTCGGAAAAAGATAACAAATTAAGTTACAATTAGAGATGAAAGAAACGGTTGAATCAGATGTTAAAATGAATGCTGTTGTTGGGTTACAAAAAAGGTAAACAAAGGACGGTTTACATTTTAAGCATAAAATACGTTGATAATAAATTATTGTGAACACGCAATGATTATTTCAATTTATTGATTGCAGTTGAAATGAGTTGCTCAATATTTACCTTTCTCGATGGCAATCTAAAGCTTTACCAGAGGTTTAAATATTATAAACAATTTAATACTTTCGTTAGCAATATTTAATGTAGTAAATTGATCTCATAAGCCAATCTAACGTTACCAAGGATTTAACTGATCTCAATGATAATACACCTTTAAGAAACAGAGGTAACAATGGATGATCAGGATAAAATTGAGTACAATAGTAACATATTATTTGATTACCTTTGTGGTTGCACTTGAAATGAGTGTCTAACATTAGCACTACTCCACAGATTTGATAGTCTAATCAAAATGAGAAGGTATGTTTAACATTTATATTTACATTTTTCTAGAATAGATTAAGATACAATCGAGTTTCCCTATTCACCTTCCCCAATGTTTCCCATGAAATTTGTTTCATCCATAATTGATTCCTATTCTTAACTGTCCATAATTTGCTTATAACCACCTTTAGTCTCGTCTTATTGATTTATTTATGAAGGAAGTTTATCATCTGTTGATCACTGGTTTCAGAGTGCAGACGTCCCAATCTTGGATAGTTTACATCAAAATTGAAACTCGATATTCTTCTGTTTTCAAGGATCGATGTGCTGTTTTTTACTTAATTTGGTGAGATTAATTTCATCTTGACGGAAGCTGATTCGGATGCACCTAGAGTGGAAAACAAAAATCGGATCCGATTATTCCAATTTCCAGTTCCTCCTGGAGATAGATGAGAAAGAAGATAAAAAGGAAGAAAGGAGAAAATAGTGAGTTGATGATGGTTGAATGAAAAGTGGTAACAAAAAGAGAGAGAAAAGTTGAAGCTCCAAATAAGGTTACAATTGAATAGTTTTTCCTCGTCCGATTGAAACTGGATTTTATTTTTCCTTAAATAACCACAGTTGATCGTTTAAACAGTCCATAATTTAGCTTTTGTTTTCATCAACCAAGCCGATCAATTGTCAAGTTTATTTTTACATTTTTTTTCAATTCTATTTCAATATTGTCCTTTTTTGTTTCTTTTGTCATCATCGTCATCATACTCATCGCTATTATAAATTATCAGCAGATAACTTTTGTGTTTTAATAACCACCACAATTGATCATTATTTTGACAAACAAAACATCATTCAGTCAGAAGGAACAACTTGGCCTTTTAAAACATCGAAACTTCCAATTTGGTGATTTGTTTGAATCAATATTGCACGGTTAATTGGCTTTCCATTGAACCTCATTCTCCATGTACACATATATTGGGTAAGTGAAACACTATTCAGTCTGCTATTCCTTAATGATGTATTTAAATGTAGTTAATTGTGTCAATAGATTTTAAAGAGAAATCCGAATCAAGTAATGATCAAGAGATGTTGAACAAGTTGAACGTGAAGGAAACCAGCAACAACCATGAATGAGACGGTAAAATGAAGAGTAATTTGTATAACATTAATGATTTCATGTGTTAGTGATCAGCCAGGCACACATTTATCACATAATTGTCAAGTGATGTTAGATGAAAGAGAGCACGATAAATAAGATAATAATCAGATGATTATACATCTTTTGGACAGCATCTTCTTTTGTTCCGAAACGCCGTCATTTTCATAATATATAATTATTCGACCTGAAAAATTAGTCGATTCAATGAAGCAAGCCAGCAAGCTCATCAAAAATGAGTCTCAATCCGTCAAGTGACATGACAGTGTGATGAGTGTAAACGGACTGGATGAGTAGAGAGGTTTCGAGTTAGCTTGGAGCAGAACGATATAAAAAAATGAAGACAATAACTTGTTACATTGAGACAATTGGTGAAGCAAAAGTGCTTTTCTTTTGCTTTGAAGGAAAGTTGAAAAAGGTGAATAAAGGTTGTTGATGATAAATGGACGAGAAGAAGTGACAAAAAGTAGTTGGCCATGAATCCAGGAGTCCGATCACATCATGTTATTATTGGCATCAACAAGTGTAATTTGTTATATTTCTTGATTCATCTTTCTCTTAACTAGTGTTACTTTTCCGATCATCAGTTTTGTCCATTGCTTTCCTTATATTTTCAATTCAACTCCTAAACCTTGTATTAAAGTTGCTATTGTTTCTTGCTTTTTCTTTGAATGGATGCTTTCGATGTTAGAACCATGCACAATCAACGTTTAAATTGGCCTGAACCTCCAAAAAATGTTCTCATTATCCAGAAAATTCACGATTCAAGTGTTTTACCATGCTTTATTCAACTGACACAATGGCTTCTAATGGTAAGTCTAGTCTTTTCCTCCTTTCACGATCATATTTCCATAGAAACTGTTATTAAAGGAAGATGATATATTCATTAAAATTTGCAAGTATATTCATGTTATTTGTGGAATTTGTTGATTACTCTTACTTCAAATTACCAAACAGAATTTCTTCAAACTTATTGATCAATACAAGTTGTCTATTCATGAATGTAAACATATCAATTTGATAAATCGGATAATCTGGGAATTGCTGTGGTAATCAATTAATTGAAATTAAAAGGTTATTCTTGATAATTTGCAGGAGTGAATATATTCTGGTGAATTTGGTTCAAGGCTAATGATAACCTTACAAGTAAATATTGAAAAAAGTGATTTTAATAACATTTACCAGTTCTGATGAAACGAGTAACATTTGGATTTGATGAAGTTTAACCTCAAGTTAGATGATCGATATCAATAGTTTCTTTAGTAATTGACATAATGATTGAAAACAAACTGCAATTTTAAAAAGTCTTCTCAAATACACGATTTGAATCATTTCATAAAAAACACGTTTGAGTTTAAATTGATTTAAATTGCACTGGTGAGTTGTGAGTACAATCATTCTGGTTTGAAAAGAACCAACTTTTATAACAAAACCAGCTTTTAATTGTCAAAACCTATTTTAACAGACAAAAATCTAGTGTAAAAGAGTTACTTTATTCAAAGTATTCAGGTATAAAGAGGATTATCACTGATTATTACACTGACAATTGTACTTGAATATAAGTATGTCCTGACGATTGTAACATTTTGATAAAATGTTAACTTATATTCCTCGGTGCATAAGAAAACAAGTGATTAACAATTAACGAGATAATCTACGTACTGAATAACTCTTTCACATGAGAGTTTTGTCTTATCAAAGTAAATGGTCTTTAAAGCTGGTTTCTTTTCATGAAAACTCAATGTCAGGCGGCTTCACTATTTTGCATGTTGGTCTATCTAGTCGAGAATAATTGTAAGACTGAATTTCTGATATTACAAGATTTAACTCTTCTCAAAAATTTTAAGTTTTTTGTAGCTTCCAAGTTAAACAGATTGATAACGGTGATTACGTTAAAAGGCGTTGTTATCATCATGTCTTGAACTTGAAATCATAACAACATGTAATATATGACTATTCAGTCCATATATTACATTGACTCGTAAAGATTTAGTCAAATGAATCTTGACAGTTTACTTGTCTATCCTTTAGCTATTGTTGGCATCATAGTTACGTCCACTTTTACGAACTGATCTGCATTGTATAGTCAACAAGTATAAATGAATACGAGAATGATCTGAAAGACTTTAATCAATATCTTTACATTACCAAATCTGTTCGTTCAAATCCATTGCATTGCGAATTGGCCGACAAGTTCTATGAGGTTGGAAATTTCGACAAGGTGGATAAGCTATTCGGTTACATCGGTAGGTTTCTAAAGCTCTGATACATTTACGGTTGGAGATTGAGACAGTTGAAGGTTTGCGGTCATGTTATCCTGGTTTACAACAAGCTTTAATTATAATCATAATCTGCAGAGATATTAGAGAAAAGTTGAGAATTAATTTCTTCATCACAGAATTGACATTTTTAACAATTTAAGTTTACCTTCAGTTGGATAACCTAATGAGCATAATTTAACGCTATTTCAATACATTTCCATAAATGAATGAATGGTACTTCCAAATATCCTTTACCTGGTTTTTATTTTTTATAATGCATTTTTTTCGTATTTTAATCACTTTATTGAACTATTGCCATGTCAATAGGAGAAGCAAATGGTTGTTCTTGTTGAAAAGAATGTACTTAAAGATATTCGAAACCGAGCTGAACCTTTATTCAAACAGCTTCGTGACAAACTGTTGGTTTTTGAAGTTGATCGTAATAACCGAGACTTTGGTAAAGAAGTTGATCTGGTCATCTGTTTGGGTGGTGATGGAACCCTTTTGTACGCATCATCTCTATTCCAGGTAATGAATACAAATCAAATTGAGCTAGGGAGTCAAAAATAGTTAGAAAGACCACAAAGCAAAACAAGCAAGTTGTAAAACTAAATTACATTTAAAAAATCCGTTACCAAAATTACTCCATTGTCTCAAACACAAAATAAAAAAACCAAAAAACCAATAACATCAACACCTCGCAACATAATTAGAGCAAGGTTCCACCGGTCATGGCATTTCATTTTGGATCACTTGGATTTCTAGCTCCGACAAGTTACCAAAGTTATTGAAGGTGATTTACCACCTTAACCAACTTTTTTTACAGCAAAAAATATAACCAAATAGTTCTAAAAAATGTCTTTTTTGTTTTCTTCCAATCTTTCGTTTTGAATTTCATTCCAATTTCAACAATTTAGGCAAAGCTGGAGTTACCCTGAGAAGTAGATTGTCATGCAGTGTCCATAAACAGGAAAACAATACAATTGTTGACCAATCCAATCAATTTGTTGTCCTAAATGAAGTTGTCCTGGACAGAGGCTTATCGCCATTCCTATGTAATCTTGATCTTTACATTGAAGGTAAATACATAACAACAGTACAAGGCGATGGGTTGATTGTTTCAACACCAACTGGAAGCACTGCTTATGCTGTAGGAGCCGGTGCCTCCATGGTGCATCCAAGTGTCCCAGCAATCATGGTAACCCCAATTTGTCCACATTCATTATCATTCAGACCCATAGTCGTTCCAGCAGGGATACAGCTCAAGGTAAATCAAAGTCAAAATCTGATTCCAAATGATTCCATTTCGAATGATAGATAAGGATGTTGAAGTTGTAATATCTTAATAGATTTCAATAATCAATTATAAATACATTTGTATCATTTTTATTTGCTTGTCACAACTGATTAATCTTCTTCTTTCCATCGTTTTCCATCGTTTTCCACCATATAACTCATGGATACTTCTGATTGTTACATTAGATCCTGGTTTCCAAAGATTCTCGAGGCTCTGCTTGGGTTTCCTTCGATGGACGACAACGTCAAGAATTGAACATAGGCGACGAGTGAGTAATGTTTTAAATGGCCAATTACTCAGCTGGGATAACAGTTAATTTTGCATTAGCATAGTAGTCAACAGTTATATTTAATCAGCTGATTGGTAATTTATGTGCATTTTCCCGGAAGATTACAATTGCAAGCATAAATTTTCAATCAATTAATTATTAAATTATCCTTGAACCTGAAAAAAGACAAGTAAAAATAAGCATTAGGAATAAATTCAACATAATTATCAACAGCTTTCCATATTGTTTTTCAAAACATTTTCTGGTTACTTAACAATTTATATTTGTCTTACCTTTACTCTAATAGGTTAAATGTCACTACATCCGTCCATCCCATTCCATCAATTTGTTTCAAAGATCCAATGACTGACTGGTTCTCAAGTCTAGGTGAATGTTTACATTGGAACGAAAGGAAAAAGCAACAGGCAATCGTCTTGTATGACAATTTGGATTTTGACGACAACGATGATCACAGTTCCCCTATTCACCAGAATGGTGTCGAGAAGCGGTGACAGGAATATTTTCAATGTTCATCGTAGAAGCTGGAACAGTACATTTTTCTCGCAAGATGAAAGCACAAATGGAATAGCAATACATTCAAGTTACAGGAGCATTTAAGAATCAAAATGATTGATTAGAAAAATAATCACATGTTATTGAGTTCTACATGTCTTTGTTAGACTCTGTCTATTGTTTAGACGTTTCTAAAGATACACTTATTTTTGCCTACAAAAGTTAATTTTGTCATTTGAATTTGTAATAATGTTGCTCTTATATTATATCATGTAATTGTCAACTATAAATGTGATGAAGAACAGTCCATTCGCTCAACAAATCGATACTGGGCTTTCTGTTGCATTTGTAACACTTGCTAAAGGTAAAATTAAAAATAATAACTGATAATCTAGGTTATGAGAAATATCTGATCAATAATCAGTCAATTTTTCCTGGACAATCATTTTTATTCACTTTTTTATAGCAATGCTTACAAGCGTTTGTAATTGCCTCTTTACAACTGCAATTTTATAATCAATACTAAAGTTAAAATTCATAGTTGCAAGCAAAATATGGAAATATCAACCGAATCGAAATACAGAAACCTGAAACAACTTTACTGTTCTATTCCGTTCAATTTCACTTCTTTCCATGAAATTTATTAAACTAGTAAGCATGATAGGGAAATCTACGGAAAAATATATCAACAGGATTTATTTATTGTGTTAAACTGTTCAAAGAATCAGATTTCTTCCATGCTCACTTAAGATTTAATCTGGTTGATGTATTGTGATTTGTTTTGCCAGACTTTTCAATCAGAGCAATCGATTCTGATAATGAACAAGGCCTTAATAAACAATATCAATTTATTGAAGCAATGCATGTCAATTGAAGGTTATAAGAGAACAATATCAATCTATTAATATACTCAGAGTTTCACACTATTTCTTTGTCGCTCAATAATTGTTTATTTCTTAACCATTTCTTTTACAGTTATTTTACATGAATGAATATGCTTTGAGTAGATATTGAATATGGAATTACTTATCTTGTGATTTGAACCGAAATTTTCAAGTCATGGATCTATTTTATATAAATTCACATTACAAGCTTAACAAGTGAGTTCATTCATGAAAAATTGCTAATTGATAGGAAAGTAAAATTTGATATTTTTGAAAAATTATGCATTAAAAGAGATAAGTAAAGTCATTATTTTAACTCAGAGCTTTTCCTAGTCACTTTAATTGATAATTCAAGTAGAAAATTTTATCGTTTTAAATCAGAAACGAATTGAAATTATGTAGAGTGAACCGATAAAATTTGTCAAGGTACTGAAGTACCTAAACAAATAGATCTTATCAAGGACATGAAAATTTTGTTGATGTCAATAATCCTCAATCTAAATTATCCAATTGAATACACGAAATAAACACAAATTTTAGGATAATTAAACCATATTTAATTTCACTTCAAACAGTTAAAATTCAATGAATCGCAAGAGAATAATTTTCTTTAGATGCAGATGTTTTTTAATTGATTCTGACAATTACTAAATCTAGCTAACAAAAAATGACCAAATAAAGAAAAATGTTCGATACCAGCTAAATGGATTCATAGTTTCCTCTCATCATCTTGAAAAGTATTATGACCGAATAGCCTTAAAGATAAACAGTTGAGGCGATATTTGGACTGTTAAATGATTTGCTTGAAATTAAAACCACTCAAATTTAGCGAGTAGAAATGTACTTGATTAAATCAGCAACTCGGTTACTGTAACCGTATTCATTATCATACCAAGAAATCAACTTGACGAACTTATTATTCAAGGAGATTCCAGCTTTAGCATCGAAAACTGAGCTGAAAGTGCTTCCAATAAAGTCGGATGAGACAACCTGAAAGATTAAATAATGAAGAAAAATATGTGAGATTAGAGATTTTCAGATAAAAGATAAAATTGAACATCTAAATAGTCACATGGTTCAGGGATAATTTCAAGGTCAACTTACAAATTCATCAACATAGCCAAAAATGCCTTTCCATTGATCACTTTCTGAAGCAGCCTTGACGACAGCACAAATTTCTTCATAGGTAGCTTCCTTCTTCAATCGACAGGTTAAATCGACGACTGAAACATCAGGAACTGGAACACGGAAAGCCATACCGGTGAGTTTTCCATTTAAATCAGGAATAACTTTACCAACAGCCTTAGCTGCACCAGTAGCGGCAGGGATAATGTTTTGGAAAGCTCCACGCCCATCTCTCCATGCTTTAGCACTTGGTGCATCAACACATTTTTGGGTAGCTGTAATAGCATGGACAGTTGTCATGAGACCTTCTTCAATTCCAAAGGAATCATTGATGACCTTGGCCAAAGGAGCAAGACAGTTGGTTGTACAAGAAGCATTGGAGATAACGTTCATAGATGGATCATAAGATTCGTGATTAACGCCCATAACAAACATGGGTGCATCAGCGGAAGGAGCTGAGATGATGACTTTCTTAGCACCACCAGCAATGTGACCTTGACACTTCTCTTTGGTTGTAAAGACACCAGTAGATTCGACAACATAATCAGCTCCGGTTTTTCCCCATGGAATATCTGCCGGGTTCCTTTCAGCAAAAACTCGGATACGTTGACCTTCAACGACCAACATACCACCTTCTTCTTTAATTTCACCCTTAAACTTTCCATGGGTAGAATCATGTTTAACCATATACACCATGTAGGCTACATCAATGAAAGGGTCGTTGATGGCGACAACATTTAATTTTTTCTCGATACAGGCTCGAAGGACAAGACGTCCAATTCGACCAAAACCGTTGATTCCAATATTTACCATGATTGATGATTGTTCTGTTGATAAAATAAATACGGATAATCAAGTAAAATTATTTTATTAGGGTTTAAAAGGAAGAAAGAGAGACAGACAGAGAGGCGAATACTGGAAATTAAGAGTAAGAGGTAACAATGAAACTGTAAAAGATTCGTGATAAGATGACTCAAGAGATGAAGAGGGAGCTATTTTATCCTCAAGCGCATAAGCAGCCGAGGTTGAGCCGTAGTACGGCTGAGTGGCTCAAATACTACACTGAGCTTGGTCAATTAAATAAACTTGCTTCGCTAATGTTTAAATAATGATGCAATAAGATACTAAAACAAGATAATATAACATGTAAGATGCCCTTAATTTTACCACAAATAAAGGTCCATTTCGGCCATTTTGTGTTTATCAGTTCATCTGTGAGTTGTCATCTTTGAGGCTTAAAGTTTAGGTCATAGACTTAAAAGGTAAAATAAAGAGGCTTTTCGCTTATAATTTTGTTAAAATATGGAGATTGAATGAATTATAAATCATGATTTAACGATCTACTCAAGAATACCTACAAGAAATTTTTCCTGAGATCGTCTAAGGTTCAGAACTTTAAGTAAATCTGTAACTCAATTTCTGGTTAACAAAAACAATGTCTAAAATATTGAATATAAAATAATGTTTCTATTGCTTACCTTATTTATGTGTCAGTTTAATACAGTTGAAGATTGAAGTCAATGAATGCTCAGAGAGTTTAATTATCGATGAACAATTGATCTTTATCAAATCGGAAACAAATTAAAATAAAGTGAAACTACAGTGATCAATCAGATTACAACTTGAAGAAACCGACAAAATATAACTAAATTCTTATACAGTCCCTAAACAGGCGGAGTTCCACTGATTTTGTTTAATTTATATTCAACAAATCAAGTATAGTTAATTAAATTAAACCCACTAAACATGCTTAAAAATGTCTTGGAATTTAAAATCCAGTTGAAATAAAAACCAATCCTTGATTATTAAACAATACCGAAAATAAAAAATTTAGCTGCTTGATAAATAGCAAAAAATAAGCTATTTTAAGAGCACGTTATTATCACAGCAATGAAAATCCAAAAATGTAAATTGTACAAAAGATTAAACCAACTGTTGACCAAAAATCAATAACTATTTTTGAGCTCAACCTTTATTGTTCTTGATTAACATTAATTTTTGAATGTTTACGCCAACTTTGGATCTGTCAATTGGCATATAACTTTCAACCTTTGATCAAGTTCATTTGTTCAGTTGAGACTGGATCAAAATCCATGTTTAAATCATCAATTATTTATTCAAAGTATGAAAATTCAACCTTGATTGTTTCAAATACTCTATTGTTTATGACATTTATTGCTGATCTAATTTTAAATGAATTATTTAAATAAAATAATACAAAAAACACCCTTAAATGATATCTATGCGGGAATGGTAGCAATTATTTCAAATGGATTAATCTGATCAAGAATGAATTTTGGATTCAAATTGACGAGATCAGATCAACTTAAAAAAATGATTATCTTCTCCATTGATTGTAAACCCAATTAAACTCAAAACCACTTACGATCTTCATAAGCTATTAAAGAAACAGCAAAATTAATTGTGATACAAATCATGGTTCCTTTGTTTCATAGGAAATCTAACAAGCTTGTTAGCTTAATTGCTGTGTTCACAATTATTTCAGGCTATTGTCAGTTGAATGAATCAAAATCTAAGTTCAATTAAACTTTTATATCGATATGGAAACAATGAGTGATGGTAATGATAAATAATAGTTGATTTAACCTAAACTCAGATGACTTCATAGATAGAGGTGAATGCTATTACATAGCGAGATTTTGTTTTATCATGTTTAGCTGATGATTTTAATAATTGTGATGAACAAGAGGATAAAATGCTCTTTGGTTTCATCATCTATCAAATCAATTTGTGATATAATCGGTTGACTGTGATAAGTGTTAGATTAAAAACAAAAAGAGTAATGTAAATATGACTTGTTGGAAAGCTTTTCTCGATAATTTTACTTCATCCCAAGCTTCCAATCTCATCACATTAAATAATTCATAAGTTCATCGGTTATTATTAGCAATTAGAATTGAAATTTCTTCCATTATTCATCCCAAAAAGTCAAATCATAAAAGGAAAACCAGAAAATATATTCTGGTTGTCAACAAATCCACTCCAATTGGGATAAAGTCATCTCTGTGTTTAGATACCGTTTGAAAACTGTGATTTACTTTTTTATATTTAATTTTTACTCTTTTTAATTGTGATTTACTAGTAATTGAATAGTGATTGTTCATCTTTAAACGATTAAATTATAAAATTCACCATGAATAAGGTTGTATTTCTTTCGCTTGGAGGAATTGGACTTGTCCTTGCACTTGTATCTGCAATACTTTTGAACCAATTTCCCAATATAATACAAAAGCAAGTTAGAAAGGTTTGTATTGTTTACAATTAACTATTGATTAATCGACCTCGGTTACATATCAGTTGACAAATTCAACTAAAGTTGACTGATTAATGATTTAAATTGCCAAATTACTGTTGCTGCAATTTACCAAAAATGCTTGAACTTGATACACAAATCTTTGTCTCAATAGAGTAACCAGAAAATTGAAAACAACACACATTTCTCAATTACCAATTAAAGCTGACAATAAGCGTACCCATTGTTTAATTTGGTGAAAATTGCTAATTTAACGATTCTATTCTGAGTCTTTGATGATTGAATCCGGTTGTGTTATCTTTTATTCTGGTTTTCTCCTGGTTTTATCTCCTTAGGAAATTAACTTCCATGTCATAGTCTTGCGTCTTTACCTTTACCAATAGATAAAAATAACAATCAGACTGTGTTTTCAATGATGAAAAACACTTGAAATCAATCTTTGTAATGAAGGCTAAACACCAAAACCAACATATAAAAACTGGAATAGCATATTGTATTATTTAAATTGCTAATTGTGGTTTCAGCCAGAATCTTCAGACCTTTATTCAATCAATCAATATCTCTACAAATAATCGTTAATAAATAGCAACTATTTATTGGCAATTAATTCAGATAATAGAATCGTCTGATGGAAATCATTTTCGGTGATAAAATATATTGAGGTTTCATTTTTACCTCATAAATTGCGCTGCATTGGTTATGATAACCTATTTATCAGATTTGAAATGGTGCGATACAACACGATTACTGATTTAAGAACATAGCTTGATCCTGGAAAATGGATAATTACTCACCATTAACTAATGTGTAGATAATACTTGTTATTAATCTGATTGTGACTTGACAACAAACAGTGGCAAACCCCTGCCGTTATTGTTATTTATTTCATAGGAAGAGATAGTGAAATTACAATGAAAAAGTGTTGCTCTCTTTGTCATCAACTGATTTTGTTTAGCTATTAATGGATAGACCTGGATAAGCTAATCGGCTAACCAACAGAAATGACTCAGAAGTCAGTCATGGTTTTATCTGATTGAGAAATATTTTGCTTAGACTATGCAACCAACAGTCACCTAATAGTCATCTTTTGTTTCTTTGTTTCCCACCAGCAACTTGTTATCAAAGAGGGATCAGAGGATTATGATAAATTCATCTCGCCCGATGTACCAATTTATTTGAAATTTTATCTGTTCAATGCTTTGAATCCTGATGAAATAATTGCCGGTGAAAAGCCAAAAGTTGAAATAAAAGGACCATACAGTTTCAAGGAAAAACGGGTTAAAGAAGTTGATCAGTTTTCCGATTCTGGAGATGCAGTTTCTTATAAAGAAGTGAAAACTTACTTTTATGATCCAAAGACTTCTAGAAGAAGCGGTTCCTTGGATGATAATATTACTCACATAAATGTACCAGCAATGGTGAGTAAACAAATGGCATTTAATCTCTATTAATTCAAGAATAATTCATTTGTTTCGTTTTCTTTCATCAGACTGTTATGAGTGCATCATACCACGCGGATCCTCCCTCCAAAGGATATTTTATCCGGGCACTTTTTGAACCAAAAATTAATCCTAAAATGTTCTTACAACACACAGTTGGCGAATTGCTGTTTGATACATATCCCATTGAATTCATAGATGAACTGAATCAAATTCTCACAGATCTTCATCAACAAAAACTTAATTTATCTGATTTTGCCTATTTTATGGATGTAAGTTCGCATATGTAAATTTTTACAACAAATTTTTAAATTTTGAATCATAAGCAAAGAGTTAAGGAGATTTCCTCAACTCATAAACCTTTTCTGTCCATTGTTTAGTTGTATCATTACGCCTTCTGTTGAGTTTACTTGCAATCAATCATAGGTTCAATGATTATTTTAAATAATCTCAAGTATGCTTACTGAAATGTTTATTTTAATGTTTTATTATCTAAATAATAAGTTTATTTTGACTATTTCAGAAAAATGCTACTGATGAAGGAACATTTGTAGTTAAAACCGGAAAAGACAATATTAAAGATCTTTTGGCCATTGAAAGTTGGAAAGGCAGCAAGTAAGTAACCTAATGTATTTTCAGATTTATTACATCGTAATCAAGGCAAGCAAATAATCGTTCAATCTTTTCCTTTAGACTGTATTTGCATTGATAATTGTCTGACCAGATTGTTCGAATCACTGTCCCCTCATAAAAATTGTGCGATTTCTCTCAATTTTTAATCGACTGCTCCTTGCCTTGATTATAATATATGCATGTAAATTATAGTTTTTAACGTTCTATATTTTTTAATTAGCAATGTAGATTTCTGGGTGAATGGCAGTAAATGCGATAACATTGTAGGTACAGATGCTACTGGATTTGCTCCTAACGTCAAGAAAAACAGTAAACTTGAAATTTTCACCACTGACCTTTGCAGGTAATTTAAAATATGTCTTGTTATTCTAGAAGCTTCTAACATTTGATTTTTATTCTAAAACTAGATCATTTCCATTGGTCTATCAATCTAAATCAAAAGTGAAAGGAATTGCAACTCACAGATATGTAATTCCTGCCGATGCTTTCTATGGACCAGCTAAAAATCCAGATAATCAGTGTTACTGTATTGCTTCGAATGAGACAGATTGTAATCATAATGGACTATTAGATATATCAAGCTGTCGACAATACGCTCCGTTAGTTGCTTCATCACCCATGTTCTTCCAAGCAGATGACGATTTATATGATGCCATTGATGGTCTTGACGATAGAAAGGCTGACCGTTATCAAACCTATCTTGATATTGAGCCAGTAAGTGGTACAATGAGTCAATTTAAATGATGAATTTCAACAACAATTTCAATTTGTGTTACAGATCACAGGAAAAGTTTTGTCAGCATACAAAAGACTGCAAATTTCCGCTTGGTTAAAACCGGATTACAAGTAAAATAGCATTTTCAAAATTTTAATGTTTTTTACTAATCAAATTATCATTGTCTATTACAGTCCTAAGAATACCAAGGCCAACGTTTTCTTGCCGCTTCTCTGGGTTGAAGAAGTAAGTAGCTGATGGATTACAACAAATAATAATTTTTCTGAATAATTATTTATTTCTTATTATCTGCAATTCAGGGCTTCACTATAACTGATGAGCTTGCGGATGAATTCAAATCAAAGGTCACAAAAAAAGTGAACCTTGGATCAAGCCTGATTATCACTGCCTTAATCATCGGGTTACTTTTGGTTGTTTCTGGCTTAGGATTGTTCTTTTATCATAAATTCCGAGCAGGTTAGAACTACCTTTATTGGATTCTTCATGTCCTAATATGTCAATTTTTTATATTATTACATTGAATTCTAATTGAATTTTCTCTTATTTTTAACAGGTAAATAATTTCTCCTTTGAACCAGCCAAAAATTAACTGTTAAATTTATATGCACGTCGACTCACTTTATCTATGGTTTTAAATTTGACATGGTCAACATGGTTGACAATATTATTGAAATAAATGATCATCCAATTGTTTTATACTTGATACTCTGTCAAACGTTTTCAGATTAATCTCTAAATGCGTTCAGAGTGAATATTTTTTAATCTTAATCATTTAATTGTTCATTCTTACAAATTTGTACGTCATTTTATTCATTAATATAAACAGTAAGAATAAACTATTTTACTCTCAGCTTTTGAATGAATATTTTCACTATTTGAGCTCTTTTACATTTCTGTTGTGAAGAGAAGATCCATTTTCCCAAATTGCGATATAAAATGTCTGAACAACTTCTTACATGGATGCTTGAGAATCTATTCTAAAAGCTATCACAAATATTTAAAATAATAGCAAAGTATTTCAGTGAAATTGTACTCCACTGAGAGTATTTAATTCTAAGGAATCATTCAGTACAATGAATATTCCTAAGCTGTTAACAAATTGAAATCGGATGATAATCCGAGTACAATGAAACTTTTATTGAAAATGACGATAGCACTGATTTTACTGTGTTAGTTGTGTCATTCAAGACTTGAATGCACATAATGCTATTGAAGTGGAGTGGGTTATAATATTTGAAGGCATTTTAAGTGTGTGTTGTCTATAAGAAGGATGATTATAATAGTGATGATGTTAATGAAGATGATCGGGGTTGAAATAATCATATTATTCAAGTTAATAACTAATATACTGAACCAATGGTAAAAAACAGAATGAACCAAAAAAGATAACATTGAGAAGAGGTAAAAAGAAGATAAAGTTTTCACTTATCTTAAATTGTTGGATGAATGCTGGTGATTCTGATGATTATAATATTTTCCATGAAAAAGAGGATGGAAATCTTCTTTCTTTTTCATCTTTGGTTTAATCATCTAACAAATCAATTTGTGATATAATTGGCTGATTTGGATAAGTGTTGGAACACACAAAAGAGCACTGTAAATACAAGTTGGTGAAAAGCTTTTCTCGATATTTTACTTTATCCCAAGCTTCCAAACTCATCACATGAAATAATTCACAAATTCACCGGCCATTTCACCGGCAATTAAAATTACATTTGTTCCATTCTTCAATCTGTAAGCTAACAAGAAATACATTTTCTGGTTCTCAACAGTTCCAATCGATTGGGATAAAGTCAACTGTGTTTTAAAATTTCATCTCATTTTAATTGTGATTATTCACCTTATAACCGTTAAATCGACAAATACAAAATGAATAAAATTGTATTTATTGCGCTTGGAGGCTTTGGAATTGTCCTTGCACTCGTATCTGCCATCCTTCTGGGTCAATGGTCCAACATAATCCAGAAGCAAGTCAATAAGGTTCGTATTATTGATATCTAATCATCAGACTTTCAATCAAAATCTTGAATCAGTTTAAATAATTGACAAGTTAATTTGCAAGCAGAGAAACCTAAATATGTCAATCGATTCAATATTCAGCTTGAGCTGTACGATTCTTGCTCTGTTTTTTACCTTAGTTTCATTTTTATCTAGAAATCAATTAACCAATCTATTAAACTAAAAGTATAACGTTACCACTCATCTTAAACACTTGAAAACAATCATTTGGTTGAAGATTGAACGCTGATTAACATTATTAAAACAGCGACTGAAAGCATTGAACATTTATGTAAAGTTTGATGTTTACCCCAAGATTGCAATCTTTTAGCATATTACTGAGAGATTACGAGTAAAGCCAACCAAAATTGTCAGACAACATGAGATAATGTAATCCAACATCGAAACTTACTGTTTTCATTTGATCATCCGACAATTTGCTGGATTATTGCTGTTATTTTGATTCTAACATAATATTTGTAAGATCAGGTCAAGATTTATTTTACTACATTATATAATTTCAGGCGATTACCTTAATCTTAGAAGTAGTTACATCCATCGTAAATCTTTGTCGTATGAAAAAATAACAGATTTATTCAAGTCTAAATGAGTTCATTTCGACTGTTATCATATGCTTATGATTATGCTTATTATCCCATCATTGTTTCATTTTATCCAAACAGAAACTTGTAATCTCAGAGAAATCGGAAGATTATGATAAATTCGTCGCGCCTGATGTACCAATTTATTTGAAATTTTATCTGTTTGATGTTAAAAATCCTGACGAAATAATGAAAGGTGGAAAACCGAAAGTTGAGCAAAAAGGACCTTACAGTTTCCTGGAGAAACGGGTTAAAGAAGTTGAGAGTTTTTCGAAAGATAAAGTTACTTACAAAGAAGTAAAAACATACCATTTTGACCCAGAAACATCCCATAAAAGCGTTTCGTTGAATGATGCTTTTACCCACATTAATGTACCATGGATGGTGAGTGAATTCACCATTATTAATCTTTATCCATAATTAATCTATTTTTTCTTATTCTTCTCATCTCAAGACTGTCATGAGTGCGTCATTTCATTTACCTGGTGCAGGCCAAGGAAATATTTTCAGACAACTTATTCCTTTGAAGGTTCCTAGCTTTAAAGCTCCTGTGCAAATGTTTTTAAAGCATACCGCTGGCGAATTGCTGTTTGATACATACCCCATTGAATTTATTGGCGATATTAATAACCTTCTAGCCCAAATTAAACAGCACCAAGTTAATTTAACTAATTTTGCATATTTTATGGAAGTAAGTTTGATTAAAAAAAATTACCTTCATTTGTTAAACTTGCGATTTCAACCTCTTATTGTTTTTACTCAATGTCTAGATCTTACATTACGCCTTCTATTGAGCTTGCTTGTAATCAATTGTATTTACAATGACAATTTTCAATAATTTCAAATGTGCTTTTGTTTATTGTTGTATATTGTTGTGTTATTTATCTAAGTAATGAATTTATGTTAAATTTTTCAGAAAAATGCTACTGATGAAGGAAGATTTGTGGTAAATACTGGATCGAAGAACAGCAAGAATCTTCTGGCAATCGAATCATGGAAGGGTAGCAAGTAAGTAACATGTCATCTAGTTGGATTTTGTAACGTAGTCTAATCATCTTTTCATAATTTTGTTTTTTTTCAAATCAGCAAAGTAGATTTCTGGGTGAAGGACTCTAAATGTAACAATATAGTTGGAACAGATGCAACAGGATTTGCTCCTGGTATCAAGAAAAACAGTAAACTTGAAATTTTCACAACTGATCTTTGCCGGTAATTTAAAGTATAGCTTGTTTTTTGGGATTATGATTAACATTTCATTTTTTATCCTAAATAGATCATTTCCATTGGAGCGCTTGTCTGAATCTGAAGTGAAAGGGATTTCTACTCATAGATATGTAATTCCTGCCCAAGCTTTCTATGGACCAGATAAGAATCCAGAAAACAAGTGTTTCTGTATCGCTCCAGATAAAAAAGATTGCAATCATAATGGCCTATTGGATATATCAAGCTGTCGACAATTTGCTCCATTAGTTGCTTCATCACCTATGTTCTTCCAAGCAGATGACGATCTATTTACTGCCATTGATGGTCTCCATGAAAGAAAATCTGAACTCCATCAAACCTATCTTGATATTGAACCGGTAAGCAATTGAATACAACCCAATGTTAGTAGGTAACCCAATACTTTATAGCCTATTGTTTAAACCCATCATTTACTGTTAAAATGCTTTTCTCATCATCATAATTTTCACAATTGATGGCTGGTATTAAAATTTTATCATTTTGGTCACTCTATTGTTAAGATCGATTGAATTCTGATTAATAAATTTCTATTTTTATTACAGATCACAGGAAAAGTTTTGTCAGCTTACAAGAGATTACAAATTTCAGCTCATTTAAAACAAGATTACTGGTAAATAACATAAAATTGTGGAAATCGTAATGCTTTTTACTAATAAAATTATCATCATCTATTACAGCCCTGTACCCACCAAAGCTAACGTTTATTTACCTCTTCTCTGGGTCGAAGAAGTGAGTACATTATATTGTATTTATTTTTATTGATGCTAATCGCATATTTTTGATCTTCTTAATTTAGGGTTTTTCAATAGATGATGAACTTGCTGACGAATTCAAATCAAAGGTCACTGCAAAAATTAATAAAGCTCATAAAGCCCGAAAGTTCATCGTGTTTGGATTGGTTCTTGGATTGCTCTTGATTGTCGCTTGCTTAGGATTATTTTTTTACAATAAATTCCAATCAGGTTAGATCGTCTACTTCAATCATCCTCACCATTGGAACTTTAAACATGTTGATTAGTAGCTGTAGAAAAGTATTATTAGATTAGCTTTGCCGTATTCCTGTTTCATTCCTTCCTCTTTTTTCTTACCTCATCTTCTCCATAACTACCTTTCCATCATTTTATTCATTTTCCATCGTCTTGAATAGATCGTAGAGTCGTGGATCCTAGAGCCAAGGTGATGGAAAGTTGGAGAAAATAGTCTCATTTATTAGTTGCCGTTGTTAATCTGACCTGATCTCAACCTATTCTTGTGTTATCTTTTTAATAAACTATTCCAATCTTTGAGTGCATTTATCTCCGACAATAATACTTCAGTTTACATCAATGTGTTCAATGCTAAGGTGTTCTATGTTTGACATCCAATAAACAATGGTAATCACCATTGACTTTTAATCTTACCTTACATAATTTTTCCATTCCACTAATCCATTGTATTTTCTTCTTTTTCAACAGGTAGATGATGTTAGTAAAAGGAATGCCGTAAAGAAGACTGAAATGTTAAATTTATAAATATACTTTCTACTAATGATTCATTAAAATTAAATACAGAAATTGGTCAAAAATGATCAATAAAGATGATTCAATTCTATCTATTCTAGTTTTAAATTGTCATCCAATCTAAAACAAATGAATTTGAATAATAATCAGTCAATTATATTTTCACAATACATTGATGAAAAAAGAACTCGATCAGTCTGGAAATTGCTCAATTGCTTTTATTAACAATGCTTATTAACAAATTGTCAGTATTATTTCATCAAGTACATGAAAAGTAGAGAAATTTTACAATATGAACGATTGCTTGGAGATTAAACTTTTCATTTTCATGCGGGATATAAACGATAAACATAATTATTTAAAAATAGATCGGTCAGATCAAGATATGGCTTTGAATGATTTTTTAAGTTCAGGTTTTAAAAAAGTTGCGACAATGGTAACAAATTTATAAATGCGTATTAATCACTGTTCTGATGTCAGATCAATTTCTTCAACTTGCTCAGACTTGCTAGGCTTTGTTGGGCTTTTTTCAGGCTTGAGAGACTGGACCGGTTCAATTGATTTCGGTAGACGAAAGATACTCGAAAAATAGAGAGTTTGTCTTTTTACACGTTCCTCTAAACTAAGGAGCGGACTCTTACTTCCAGTTTGAGAGGAACTGGAATTTTGACTGGAACTATTAATGGCACTGCTGGTTACATTGGAGGGATTTTCACCATTATCCGAGCTTTTATTTTCGTCGGGCTTGGATTCATTTTTTTCAACGCTTTCGGCACTTTTTACTTCGTTCACAGGACTCATGTTAACATTTGAACTTGCAATTGTATCGAAAACATCACTACCTTCATCTGAGCTTTTGTTTGTCTCCATAGAGTTATTGCTATTACGTCCTGAACTTTTACTAACAGCATCAGAATTTATAATTGTCTCCTCAGAGCATTTGCTAGCAGCGTCAGAATTTATATTTGTCGCTTCAGCGCTTTTGATAGAAGCTTTTAAGTTTTCATTATAAATATTAATATCGTCTTTAAGCTCCTCACTTGCTTCGAGTAAATCAGGCAATTGGTTGATTTCTAAAAAACGAGCTGTTCGCAGTAGTGAACCAATTCTGGACCGTTCAATGACAACCTCTCCATTGTAGATGAATTTAAAAATATCTTGTAAGTCTTTCCCACAAACTTCTTTTAAAACGATGAATGGTGCAACTGGAAATGGTCCCTTAATTGAAAGAGAGCTATCAACAACCTTAGCGAAAAATTGAGACCAATTACGAAGGATAACCCGATGAGATTGAATAGGATAAAAATCATCTCCACAAATGAAAAATATGTCAGTTAGACTGTCATTAGTGGTCACAGGAACGTTTGTTGTTCCAACTATTTCAGCTCGTAGTCGAACCATCGAGGGTTCAAGGTCAGGAGAAGGGATGTCACTTGTGCAATCCATCATTGTCAAAAAATACAATAAAAACTTAACCAAGATTAAAACAGATTAACTCACAGAACACTGATAAACTTTATTATTGACTCAATACCTCGTTCATTCACAGAGGTTTAAAAAATTCAAACAGTTTCCATAGGAATACCATATAGAAACACCATCTAGTGGCATCAACTTAAACCTCTGAGTCTTATCATTTCTTTTTACCTTCGAGCGGCTTTTATGATGTAAAGCTTGCAAGTTTTTCAAGTCAACAATTTGAAGTGCAAAAGTTAATATCTGAATACAACTATGATCTTTTGGAGTTGGAAATATTGTTGATCATGTCTTTATTGGAAGAGTTGTTAAAATTTTCTCCTATTCCTTTGGAACCTGAACAGGCTAAAGTACTTATTGCTAAAGCTTTAGGTTACTCTATTATTATAGCCTCATCTTTAATCAAATTACCTCAACTTTTCAAGATTGTTCAAGCTCGTAGTGGAGCAGGAATCAATTTTTATGGTCAAGCATTAGAATTATTTGCCTATTCTCTTAATTGTGGGTATTCGTTTGCTAAACTTTATCCGTTCAGTGCTTGGGGGGAATCATTGTTTCTATTGCTTGAGAATTTTCTCATCTGTTTAGCTGTTCTTAACTATGATAATAGGAAGAAAAGTTGTTTTGTATTTGCCATCCTTTACAGTTTATGGTAAGAATTAAATTTATCACATTTTATCACATCTGAAACCATCATTTAACCATCATTTTATCATTTTTCTTATAGCTTTGCTGCGTTGATGAGTGGCTTTATTCCTATCAATATTTTATGGTATCTTCAATCACTAAATTTACCATTGGCAATCGGAGGCAAAATGATGCAAGCCTGGAGCAACTATAAGAATCGACATACTGGCCAATGTTCAGCCATCACCGCTACCTGTCTTTGTCTTGGATGTATTGCACGAATATTCACAACAATTCAAGAGACGAAAGATTCTTTAATGATCGTTAATTTCGCTGTTGCTTCAGTAGCTAACTTCCTTCTTGTTTCTCAAATCTTCTACTATTGGGAAAATACCAACAAATTCCTTGCTAAATCAGCCAAGAAAAAGAAGAAGTAATCTACCGTTTTTATATTTACTCCTGATTATCAAGTTATGATGTATCATAATACAAATGAATTTACTTATTTCAAAGAATTAAACTTTTAATACTAACTCCAAGTTTTCATTGTTTTCAATCAAGATGTGATTAAAAATTAAAGTAAAATTCCTGGCACTTGTAAACTTTTCCGCGTATGTTTAGTTTATTATCATTGGCTATAAAGTTCAAACGTACATTTGTATCATTATTTGCTTCTAAGTTTAATCTTATCTTAACTAATGCGATTGAAACTGTCTTCAAAAGCTTGGCTTAAAAGGCCAATTTCGATTTAAACAAAGGATAACATTGCTTGTTTTCCCAAATATTGTCCATTCAATTCTACTCTTCTTGTTTATCAATTGAGTGGCAGTTAATTTATTAACAAAAAAAGTTATTTCAATTTTGAAAGCTATGAGCAACATAATCAATCAAAAATACAAAGTTACCCTAGTAATTAATGAATATTTTCATTGTCTAGATGAATTTTATTAACTACACTTATTGATTTTTCTCTCAGATAGTGAGTCTAACTATCACAAATCTTTCAAGTCTTGATAAGCTTGATTCAACATTGAGAGTATGATTTAGCGTTTCAATACGTTGAGAATCAAATTCTATATAAATTAATTCGTGATAGAAGTGGTGAAATGATTAGGAAAGATTGCAAGATTGGAAAATACAGAAAAGAAGAGAAAGTAAAATGGAAAGGAAAAATAAGATCATGAAGAAAGTAAAGATGTTTTTCATTCAAACTTTTGTTGTGATCATCTTTTTTCTTCTAATCATTTGTCTTCATTATAAATGGAACATAATATATATAACTATATATTTATATAGTGACTTGATTTAACGTTGAGTTAATCTTCTGAAACAAAATCAGTATTGAAGAGCAAATACAAATTTAAAATTTCCCTTTCTCTGGTGGTTTATGTTTCCATTGCCGAAGCTCCATTGGTTGTAGTTACAGTCGCAATATTGACATTAGTATTGATGATTGAAACAGGTGGTATTAATGCAGGTTGAGATAGAACTGAAGATGATGGAGAATTTGATTGGCCATCACATTCTGGTTCATTATTTTCTAACTGAGGAATTTCTTCTTTGACATCACCATCATCTGAAAAAATAGCATCTAATATTGACTGGGGGAGATGAGATCGTTGAGTATCTGTGAAACTGGAGACGTGTTCTTGAAGAGCAGGCTTAAAATCGGGACTATTACGGAATACTGTTCGCAACTGGGGAGCAGGAAGCTGCAATAAGACCTGAAAACTCTGAGGCTTTGTTCGTTGACAGCATTTAATGAAACCTTCCCAAACTTTCTTTTGATTCCAGACTTGTTTGAGAATAAGTCGTTGTAAAATATTCATCACAAAACCTAATAAGCGAGGGTGAAGGGACAGTGACTGTATGACAGTTCTCATCAATAAAGTAGGAAGCGGACTTTGCTCCATTAATAATTGCATCACAATAGCTAAGACTTCATCTGTATATATGTGTTTTTCGGCAAAACACAGACTTATAGCTGCAAAATAGAAGAAAAATAGTGAAAAAAATGTTAGATTATTAATACTATTGACAAAGATTATAAGCATAAGTAATTACCTTTCATTACAGTTTTCATATCACATTTGGAAGGATCAATATTATGTAGAGCAACTAGAAGGTCGGCAGCAGTAAGAGGACTTTGGTAATTTTGACCGGATTCAACTAAAAGAAAAGCAAGAAAATAAATTAATAAAATAGAGATAATTTTGAGACAATAGAGAGAAAAAAGGAAACGATGATAATACCTTGAGTCCCAAGTAATCTATTAAAAACTTCTTTGACGACAAGTTGATTAAGCTTGATTAGCTTGGGTAGTGCGGCAATGACCTCCCTTTTTGAAAGACCATTCAAAACAGGGATAAGGAATCTAACGTCAGGCACTCTTTTATGGTACAAATCGCGAACTCGAGAAACAAGATCAGCGCTTGGTGGTTGTTTATCCGTTAGAACGTGGATTATTCGAGTAACAAGTGTTTCTGCTCCTTTGGGGCAAGTTTCTACCAGTAAAAGAAGCTCAGGTGAATCCATACCCATTCCTTTGACTGGTACATCAAGAACTCTGAGAATTACTCTTTTAATATCAGGAATAGTCGAAACATAAACAAGAGCCAAGTCATGAATTAATTTATGATTATTGGGTAATAAACACAGGTACGGGAGGAGAAATATTTTTATGACATCTTCGGTCCATTGAGTTTCAGGTTCCTCGGGAATTGGACATGGATCCAAAAGTCTTTGAAGTTTCTCCAGTGAAAACCTTTCGATAGGTCCTTTGACATCAGCTCCATAAATTTCGTGAAGATATTTGATAACTTTAATTGCTTGAGCTCTAACTTCAGGTTTATCCATCAGAATAGATAGATTAAGCATCACAGAAAGCAATTGTGGTCTTAATTTGATCTTCTTTTCTATTAGGGTTTGCAGAATTGAAAATCCTAATGTAATTCCGCTGTAACTAGTTTCTCGTGTAATCATTCCTTCTAACTGAGATATTACTTCAGGTGTCAAAAGAGGAACTTCATAGAAGAACCTTGGCAAAAAGTGATCTCGATCTCTCACATCTACTCTTTCAATCAATTCTTTAAATATAAAGGATAAACAATTATCGTAGTGAGACATATCGTTACCATTCTTTTTAGCGACAGCATATTCATTATAGACAAGATTAAAAAGTAGATCAGCTCGATTACGAATATCTTCAAATGCATAGCCCCTAACCAGCGTGGCTACATTAAAAGAATGGTCATGAAATTCGGTTGAAAGGTGAGTCAATACTTTGTTGCGACTCTCTAGTTGAGAGGGACAAGTTATAAGTTTTCGCTCTTCAGCTTGAATTATTCGACTTACTGAGTCAGCTATCATTCTCACTTTCATATCATCTGAAAGTTCTGTAGTCAACTCTTCAAAGTTCAACTGTTTTACTTTAACTGAACCACTTAACGTTTTACCAGTGGGCATAAGTTTAACCTTATTCTGATTGTTAAGTTGTGCTTGTTCTTGTTTCTTAGCTTCTTGAGCAATTCCACGACTTACAAGTGTTGCTATTTTTTGATACTGTTGTTCAGAATTTTGAGATTTTTTAGCTTTCGCTGAAATGGCAGCTCGCTCGACCATTTCTTCAACTCCTTTTCCTATTGAGAAAAATACAAAAAAATAATTAATCAATCACACCCATAAACAAAAGATATTTTGATAAACATTAGATTCGACTTTGAACAATCATGATTATACTTGAAATAGTGTTCTGATATTTAAATTCTGACTAAAAATTTGACACATTAATGTTCTTGAATGCTAAACTCATCATACTTGTGCCTTATTTTTCTTAATTATAGCGTAAATAAATGCAAATCTCTAATATTCAACAATGCCGCATTATGAGCATAAATTGTGCTTGATAAATTAAATTTAAAATCTTCTAATGGAAGTTTGAGCAAGTTTTTTGAAAATTCTCGAGTTGCGATCTTTCTATTGACCCCAAAAGTTCCTAAAAAGTGAAATGCGATTAGTAAATTTTCTTTCAAATATCAAGATTTTCAATGAGACGTTGAATCTCATGTTCATCAAAACAACTGTAAGTAATGAAAAATTCTGTATCACTTTACCTATCCCAGTAGTTGTAAACTGGGTTGAAAGCAATCTGGCAAGATGCTTTATCTGAGATGGCGTACCAGCAGCGGCAACAGGAGTATAAGTCGCCAGGAAATGCGCTGGCATAGAATCAGGCAATGATAGTAATGATACTAAAACCAAATCACAGACATTTGCAATATTATTCAAGCAAGAGATCAAATCTTCAGAGGTTATATCAATTGCTGTGTTGGCATCGTTACGGGTTACTTTAGGAGAAGGTAGTGGAAGTACAGGTTCTAATTTCTCTCTTGTCGAAGACTCAGCATCAGGTTCCAATTTAATTTTCTTAGGTTTAGGTTCAATATTTGCTTGTTCAACCTTCAATCCTCTTTTACGAACTTCTTGAAGGCATTTATAAACTTCAGATTGACCAGCTCCTAGATCATTCAATAGTTGAATAATTTGTGTCTGAAATTGAATGTTTGTAGCTGCTGCTGGATGTTTTAATAACAATGTCAACTGGACTTTTAATTGTTTCCGTACCGAAGTTACTTGTGATTTAGCCAGAGTTGGAGGTAGATTTGCGTGTAATGACTCAAGAGCTTGAATAACTTTAGACAAGTAACGATCAGATCGCTGTCTGGCTAAAATTACGAGAGATTGCATCGTGGCCATCAAATTTAAACTCGATATGTGAGGAGTACCATGAAAGATTAACAGCTGTTCGAAAACATAGTTGGCTTCTTCTTCCAATTGTTCCAAGTTTACCAATTTACAATTTTCCATAGAGTCCAAACTAAAATCATCTGTATTAGACCATTGGTCACGTTTTGTCTGACAGATGACGATCATCTCCATAAATTTTATACATTGCGTCCTGACTCCATCATTTTCAGAGGAATCAAGTAGATTAAATATGTACCTTTTTATATTACACCAGACCTCATGAGTTGATTCGAGTATCTCATCAACTTTGACCTTCGAGGCCCATTTAAGAAATTTAGGATATAACAAGGTTGAAACATGGATACCTTTCTTAACTACATGAGGACTTGAGTCATTTAAAGCAAAATGTAGATTAACAATTAATTTCGGAAAAAATTCAGCATCCTTGCTACATGCAGCTTCAATGAAGTTAACCACAAATTTTCTAACTTCAACCAAGGCATCATTTTGAAAACCTAAAATCTCATCTGTAATCAGAGAAAAAAGAAAGTTAATAAGACATTAAAACAATCAGTCAGCAACCAGTGTAAAAGGTCGAAAGACTGTAAAGAGAAAAGGAAAACGCAGATAAGGAAGTGAAAAGGGGATGAGTTGATAAAAAGGAGATAACTGAAAGATATAACATGAATGGAAATGTTCAAAGAGGAAAGCTAAAATAAAAAAACAAAAGCATCCACAAAATGTCGATAACCAGAATATCTGTTGATGTCACACGTTTTTACCTAGAAAATTATCCACCAAATCATTATGAATAACCAATTCTTGAACTTGTCGTAAATTGTTTACTTTATCTTTATCAGTTGAAGCTAAGATAGCATCATTCAACAGCTCAACAACCTATACAAAATGGAAGAAAGAAAAGGTGAAAAAATAAGATTGTTTAAAATAAAAATGGAAATAGAGAGAGAGAAATAGAAAGAGGAATACCCTGTCAATCGTCTGTTCTGTAAGTGTATCAACCATATTAAATATAAATTGTTAACATAACGTTTCCAATAAAAATAAATCAGGTTAAATCATAGAACACAAATTAGTTTTGTTTATAATAATTTAAATAGTACAATGTTGATCAATTAATTCATATGTCAGCTTCAGATGTAGGCTTCTGGCATCCGATGAAATAAGTAAGGGATGAGACAAGCACCATCTGGTGGCTAAAGTTAAAATTTAACTTGATAAAGTCCACCAGGGGGAGTAATATTGCGAACGAAAATCATTGATACCGTTCTCTACACCGTCTTAAATTAATTGAATTAAATTAAGTTTTAATTTTTATTTTTTGTTTTTATTTATCTTTTAGATCACTTCTGGATACTCCGTGCACCTAGTGAATTCATCGGATGGTAGTGATTTTCGTTTATTTATGTCAAAACAATCAAGGTAAGTCTTAGTCTTTCGATATTCTAAAATAGAATAAAAATCACATTTCTTTTAAAGAAATGTAGAACGAAAAAACAACCAAATTAAAAAAAAACCAAAACGAAAAAATAGACAAAAAAGCAAAAACATTTTTTTCTTTTTTCAATTTTTAATTGTTTTTTCTTTTTACGAAAAAAAAAAACTCACAGAAACCAGAATTAAATTGAATTGAATTCAATCAAACTAGCCATAACTAACTCTCTGATTTTTTTCCTAATTTACCTGAGCGAATAACACACAACATCATCAAGACCTGGACATCAACAAGACAATCTCTTAAAACAGGAAAATCATAGCAATCCAGAATCAATTGGACTCCAACGCAGCTAAATTTTGATTTAAATTTTTCACCAACCTGATATAAAACCACACTCATAAAGACGTCTCATCATTTTATTTTAATATATTTACTCTCCCTTATAATTTAATTTACCAAATTTTTTTCATTTTTCACCCTTTAATTGTTCAATTCAATTCAATTCCAGTCCTAACAATTCTTGTAATATTTCATTTTTGTAAACGGTAGCGGAAACCGTAATTTTATGGCACTGTACTACGAGTGCGGTGTCCGGATTCATTCTTCATATGTTCGAGTGAATCCGTTTGGGATTAGCGGTATCCTTATTCCTGTAACAAGGTGAAATTAATTAATAAACCATTGATGAACTCCATTGAATTAGCCATTGGCCAAGATTAATAAACTATTACTAATACTCTTTAATTGAATGGAGAGGAAAAGATAAAAATCAAAATTTAACTTTCAATGGTGACAATCAAGTATGTGTTAGTCTTTGTACCAAATGATGTTAAAGGGTATTTAAAATGGAAAACTAATTAAGGTAAGTGCTAGAAGCAATTGAACATACAGACTTTTTCAATGTGTATACGACGTTCTGATGATTGCGTTTCGATGAGAGTGAATTGGAAACTTTAAAACCTATTAAAAACCCTATTATTCATGATGATTGTGAACCTCGTGATTTCAGTGAAATTGATATTGCTCGAGATATCCTTTTTGTCATGAATAGTTTAATGGTGAGTAACTTTAAATTTTTCATTATTTTTATTCGTATATCAATTGTCTAAATGCAATTTTGTTATCTTTTTGTTTCAAGTTACAACTCAAAAAAGGAAGACGTAAAGGAGTCACCAGTTGGAATCAGCAATCAAAAAAATGTCACCGGTTAAACGCATCAAATCTAAATATCTAATAATCTGTTAGGGAGCCTATACAATTAGTAATGAAGGGTAAAACATCGAAGCAACTAAATACTACATTTGGAACAACACTGAAAATCAGATCCAAGCATATTGAATATTCATCAATTGCATCTATTAATACAAGAGAGGAAAATGATATTTTTGGGTAGATCATCGATTATTCCTGGAAAATTCGAGTTACATATGTGAATGCTTATTCCAATATGGCTAAATTTTACAAGCTAAATGACTTAATCATAAATTTAGCAAAATTTGTAGTCATTAGTTTACTATTAACTAATGTAGAAGGCCAAACTATCTGTATCATAGTGTTGGTAAAAGTTCGTGTGAAGATAAAATTCAAATCTTAAATGTAACTGTAAATCGACGAAGTTTAGATTTTGCTATTTTAACATGAAAATAACTAAAGGTTTTTGCAAATTCTTATGATCATCATGTTTGAGTTTGAAGTTTGAGCAATATGGAATCGATAAACAAATGTGAATTTGACAAAATTATACAATCAGTATGTTTAGATGAAATAAATTGATTGTTCAACTTTGTTTATTGATTTTCATGTAGTCGTAATTTATCAAGTTTTAGTCGTTAGTTTATCAATTAATACCTAATAGCACAAATTAGCTGAAAAAATATAAATAATACACAATTGAATGATTAACAATAACTTAATCAACATTCACATTTGCTCTTTTTAGCAGGGCTTAGATGATCTGCTTTTCCGTTTGTCATTATTATAACATTATCCATTCCAGGTTCTTGTGCGTCATCTACATTTTGAATTCCATTTTCTCGATTCTCTTGACTTTCCACAATGGCCATAATCTGTGATAAATGAATAGACGAACAAAAATCAATTTAAATTCCAAACAAGAATAATGTTCTAATTACTTTTTTAATTAAAAGTTTAGCCGCCTCCTTGATACCAATATTATCTTTGGCAGAAACATAACACCAACTGGTGAAACCATTTTCTTTTGAGAAACAATCAAGTTTTGATTCATCACCAGCGATTCCGACCTTCTCAAGATCACACTATGAAATAAAACAATAAAACTTTAGAGGACAATCAAATCAACAATAGTAAACAATGGACACCTAATCCCTTTTTTCATTCTCATACTTCTAATTTAACAGCATGTCAATGTTAATTAGTGAATTGCAGGTACACTATTAAATGGCTAAAGACTGGTATTTTAGTCTAAAAGTATTGACTGAATAGGAAATGAAGCAATGTAAAATAGTGGTCAACATTATCCATATTTTTTGTCATTGCTGCTGTTTTCGGACAACTGTACTCAAGAGAGTGCACTTGTTTGCATTGAGGATGAGGTGAACATGTTTACTTATAATGTTGATGTAAAAATGATAACCTTGTTAACTAAAAGCAGTGAAGGAACCGGTTGCCCATTCTCCAATGTAACTTTACTATCGAAGTCTTTTTTCCATTTGATTGCTGATTCAAATGAATCAGGGTTAGAAGCATCAGTTATCACAAATGACCCCGAAGCACCTTTATAATAAACTCTGGTCAACGAGGCAAACCTGTCCTGACCCGCAATATCCCAAAGTTGAATAATAATATCAATTTCATCACTCCAAATGATCTTTTTCAATGCAAAATCAACTCCAATCTAGAAAGTAGAAAAGTAAAAAAGGCAATAAGAAGTTGAAAATTTTGCTGAAATCGACAGAAAAAGCTGAATATTCTGATTCAAAGTTAGTTATTCACGAGCAATTAAGCACTTGCATATAATATTCATACTGATTCGGATCATTTTTACAAACTTACCGTAGCTCGATATTGGTTTGAAAATAAATTGTGAACATAACGTTTAATTAAACTTGTTTTACCAACAGACACTTCACCAATAACCAAAATTTTGAAAGTCTTCTGTTCCTTAGGTTTGTCAACTAAACCTGGTCGATGGATTATCGTTGATTCCGGTGAGGAAGTAGTGGGTAATCGACGAATTGTCTTGAAAGCATGACATGGTGAACAAAAGATAATGTTAGAATTGTGATGATAAATCAATTATAAAAAAATAACAAAATAATGACAAAAACATAACGAACACATGTTGAAGCAAGACTCATTTGGCCAACTCTCTTTTGTCTCACTGCAAAGCATAACAGAAAGAGCATAAAAAGCATAACCCGTTTTGTTCAAAATTTTCAACTTTATAACAAAAATTAAACATACCATTTATAATAGTAAATTAGATTTAAAATAATTTAACAAAAAACAGTTTAAATTAATCCATAGCATTCAAGTTGCAACTGAATAATCCGATAACTGTGAAAAAGTGGAGAAAAAGTGAAAACAAAATTGAAAATGAAACAGAAACCTGTTATGGAGAAAAATGTAAATCTTAGTGAGAGACTTGAAATCTTTTCGTTATTCAGTTACAATAAACTTAACCCAGTCAATAACCAATTTAATTTTATAATATAATCAAAACGTTGATGTTTACAATCGAAGCAAAAAAGTCTTCTCATTAAAGTAGATTCCTCCAAATAAAGTTGCCTTGAAATGATTATCTTGACCAGTAAATGTAAATAAATATTCTTAAATAATCTAAACCTAAAGCCTAACCTAAACCCAAACCGCGAACCCAATCAACAGCAATAGATGGATTAATCAGCTTTCAAGATTATCAAATGACTAACCATTACAAAGTTGAGCATTAAAAGTGTCATTCCCAGTAGAGATACAAGAAAAGAAGTGAAATTGAAATGATGAAAGAAGGTAAATCAAAATAAACAAATTGCCTGTAAATAAAAACAAAAAAATTGTACTTTGAATGTTTTCAAGGCAATACAAACAAATATTAAATAGCCCAAAGCATTCCATTGAAATAATAATGGTAAATTAAGACACAAAAATAGGATTGGTCAAAAGACAGAGGTCAAAAGTAAAAATAAGGTCAGTAATAATGTTGAGGAAAAAATGGTTGAAAGAGAGTCTGACCAGAAAAGATGAAGATGAATAATGAAGATGAAGTTGGAAAAAAAGTATCTATGGTGATAAATTCATGGTTTACTCAAGCATTCTCAGTTGAAGTTCAGGAAGATGAAAAGAGGAAGAAAAAAAAAGTGAATCATTTCATCGTTTTTTTTGCCTTCAACATTTTTCCTCATTTCAGCTTCCTTTTGCAGTTGCATTTTTTTGTGTCTCTTATCATCCAGGGAACTGTAATCATTTGGAACTGAGTATGTCTGAGTTTAGATCATGATGATGATCAGATTGTGTGTGCGTGTGTGAGTGTGAGTGTCTATTGGTATTCATGTTATCATGGAAACTTCACATTCTTCAAGTCAGGTTGAGAGTGAAAAATTGAAGTGAAAGTTCATTTTTGTGTTACTTTTTGTTTTGTTTCATTATTTTTCCTTTTATCAATGGACATTGCTTTTCTGGACAAATCATGTTGATTCCAATTGCAATCACTTGCGATCCTTTTCCATGAAACTCACAATTCATTCCATTTCTTTACCAATATTTACAATCTTTAAATCTTCATCATTTACCCTTTTCCTTGCTTTTATCAATCAAACTATTTATCCTCATCTCAACTCATCATTAACCCATTAAACCAGTAACAACGTGCCTAAAGTTTGGGAATTTTGTCTTTGTTTCAATCTAATTTTTTCAATGTTTCAATCATTTGTTGAATTTGCAACAATAATTGGATAACTTTTACCATCCATCCATTAATTAATCAAATTAACAATTGCCAAGTTAGTATTATCTTTATCCAATTTGGTGCAACATAATCAGTTGAAGAAAGATTGTTTGTTGACCAGAAAATGAATTTAAACAAGGAATCGCTTGAAAAATCTTTACTCGACTCTGAACTTGGATTGTCAAGTGTAATTGACTCTAAACAGCAACAATCACAGTTAACTCAACAACCACAAGTTCAACCTCAACTTCAACATTCACAAATCATTCCAATGGTTGATCCATCAGCCATCACCAATCAACAGCACCATTTCAATCGCAACATTGACCTAGCCTTAAATACAACCGGTAAACGGGCTAAGAAAATGTTTACTCCAATAGTTGATACAACCTCATCGATTGGTTCAAATACAACGATTCCCACAACCGGACTCGGTTCAGATTGCCATAGAAAGTTGGTTAAACGGAAAAGTGGTGAGAGCAAGAAAAGTCCCACTTTTGGTTCAGAGAAGGGCATTTACGGTGGCAATGTCGGTGGTCTTGGATCTCACCCTCAACACCATCACATTCACCATCACCATCACTATCAACATGGAAACCCTCATGGTGGAGTCACATCACAAGCCAGTCTTCCGTCCAATCCATATAAACCTTTAACGGCATTTGAAAAACAATATCTTCTGACTGTCGAGCGCGGTGATCATGGCGGTGTCACACGAATGATTGAAAATGCACCTGAAGATTTCAACATCAACTGCTGCGATCCTTTGGGTCGAAGTGCTCTACTCATGGCCATTGACAATGAAAACCTAAAAATGATTTATTTACTGTTGGATCATGGAGCTGAGATGCGCGATGCACTTCTCCATGCAATCAACGAAGAGTTTGTCGAAGCAGTTGAACTGTTGCTCGACCAAGAAGATGCCATCTGGGAAGAGGGAGCTCCACACTCTTGGGAAGCCATTGAACGGGAAACATTCACTTCCGATATAACACCGCTCATCTTGGCCGCTCACAAGAACAACTATGAAATCATCAAGATTCTCCTTGACCGGGGCGTCTCACCAATACCCTCACCTCACGATGCCCACTGTGGTTGTCGCGCGTGTCGAGAGGCTCGAGCCCAAGACTGCCTTAGACACTCACGATCTCGCATCAATGCTTACCGCGCTTTGGCCTCACCATCACTCATTGCTCTTTCCTCCAAAGACCCAATACTAACTGCCTTTGAATTAAGCTGGGACCTTCGTCGACTCTCCTTCCTCGAACCCGAGTTTAAAACGGAATATCAAGAGTTACGTAAACAGTGTCAAGCTTTTGCAACGGCCCTGCTTGACCATACACGGACAACCCATGAACTAGATGTGCTTCTCAACTATGATCCAACCGGTGACACCTCGGATTCACATGGTAAAATGAATTTGTTGCGCCTTAAATTTGCCATTCGTTGTAAACAGAAAAAGTTTTGTGCTCATGCAAATGTTCAACAACTTTTGGCCTCCATTTGGTATGAAGGACTTCCCGGTTTCCGTCGTCGTAACATCGTCGTTCAAACCATTGAAATACTCTTGATTGGCCTTTTGTTTCCCTTCCTGTCTTTTGCTTACATTTTGTTCCCTGCAACTCGAATAGGCCAAGTAATTAAAAAGCCATTCATCAAGTTCATCTGCCATTCAGCCAGTTATGTCACCTTTTTAAGTAAGTAAACCTTTTTATGCAAAAAAATAATCAAATTAATTTCCATGGCAAAGAAAATTTCTAATCATTGAGAGAATCAACAGAATTGAATTTTCTCCCAAAAATTGATTCCCAGTCAACTAACATTAAAAAAAGTGAAGCTTGAAAGTGTAATTATAAATTCGACTTTTTTGGATTCATTTCCTTTCGAAGTTCAATTATCTCAATCAAATGAGCAATAATGAATCCATATTAATTAATGTTCATCTTATCATAAATTTACTCATAAAGTATCAAGTTATCTGAAAAGAAAACAAAATTCCTTCCCAGCTGGGAGTTTCATTTCGAATCATAAATCTTTTTTGCTACAAAATTCCTTTTCACTCCAAACAAAAGTCAGAGTTTTCCAAACACCATGAAAACAGAATTGTAAAGTTTACTTTTTTCTCGATAAAATAAGACAAATTTTACTCCCAGCTTGGACTTGCCATTTGATAACAGAATAAAGACTTTTGTCAATTTTTGTTCTTCTTCATTCTTCTTCATCTCAGTTATTACATTTATCCTGACACTTAATCACATGATGTATGACCAAAAGATGAGGTAAAAAGCAATGATCAATTGAGTTTCCATGAAAATGAGTGTTGATTATGATTGAAAAATGATGTGAACATTGAAGGTTCATGAAAAGGTCAACATTGGAAATGATGGCAATGAAAAGAAGACTTTGTTTTCCTTTAATCAATTCAATAATTGACCTGAGTTACAAGCTGGTTCAATCAATAATGAAACAAAGATGAAGCTTTTAACCCAAATTCAATTGTCAACCTGAAACTAATGCATAAATGAATACAAAAAATGTTGACAACTTCATTTTATTCATTTTGTTCAATTTTTGCTTCACTTTTCCCTTTTTTCAATGAAATATTGGTTAAATTGAAAAAATTGTTTACTCTCAATATCATTAATATCAATCAATGATATTAATCATTTGCTTTTCAAGTTTACTTTTATCATTAAATTAATGTTACCATGTTAAACGATTCTCAAATATTAATTAAACTCAATGTCTTCATGTTTCTTGTTGTTGTTGATAGCATTTTTGCTTTTTGTTTTTGGGTTAAGTAATGGTTAGATGAACAATTTATCCTGTCAAGTTGAAACAAACTCTAGTCAAGATAAATGTTAACCTTTCACCTTGATAAGATATACATGAATGAATCTATTTAATAATAATTGAAATGAGTAAACTGTTTATTGTTTGCTTGAAGATAATTCAATCTAATTTACTCTTTACTGTCAACGATCAGACGAGCCTTTCAATTTAACCATTTTTCATTTAACCAACAAAATTGGGTTCCATTATAATGGAGGAAATCAATTTTTCTGGTTATAATTAAAAAGATAAATTAATCAATTTAAATTTGTGAAAAAATTGAATGAAAAATTCAAGCTTCAATTCAATTGAAATCAAAATAATACCTAAAACCAGAAAATCTCAGACAATTAAAGATATGAAAAGCAAACGCAAAAAGACTTGAACAGAAATAAAAAACTGTAAATATTAGATATTTGACTTTAATCAAGACAGATGCAAATTCATAATATTCATTAAATCAGCATTTGAAAACAAAATTTCATATTCTTTGGTTATGAAAATGCGAAAATTAGATTTGAAAAAAGCTTCAATGAAAATGTCTGGTTAAAGGCCAAGGTTAACTGAAATGTTTGTTAACAAATGAACCTAAATTAATGAGGTTACCAATGAAACAATTTAAGGTAAAGTGTTGCATGAGATGAGATGTTGATTAAATTGTGTTTTGTTTGTCTGATGTTACCAATGAAATAATTGACTTTCAATAATGAACCCAAAGTTGGGTTAGGATTTGTTTCTGGGTTAATCAAAATGTAATTGACTAGTTAAGAGGACAAAGCAAAATATATTGGTAAAGATGAGTTTAGACTTAATAGTTGGGTTGAACATAATGTAAGCAAAAAATGGAGGTAAATTAGGTCTTGTCGAAAGACCAGGAAGACTGTTTAAAGTAAGGACATTTTGGAAACATATAAATTTCATTGAGATGATCAAGATGAAACTGAACTGAGTGAGCAGAGTAAATGTGAGAGGGAAAAAGGAAGATATTCAGGAATTAGGATTTGACCTGATTCGTGAAGAACCATTGTCATGTCATGCGGAACCATTTGGGAACCGATGGATGCTTCATGGTGATACAATCATGGCCCATGTTCAGGAATAATACACCTAAAAAAAGAGGAAGAAAAGATAAGTTATTAGAGTTAACTCATAAAGTGAATAATCTGATCAACATTTTTTTCCTCTCTCTTCAAAGATCCAAAAAAAAATAGGTGGACAGATCTTGATATTTAGCTGTCTTACATCATCAGTATCAGTTTCAGAGTTTCAGCATTTCAAGATTCAACTGACCAAAGAAAAGGCAGAATAAAACATTTCCTTTTTCATTGTTAACTTGCTTTGTAATCTCAATCAAAGCGACGATTAATGTTGGTGAAATGTTGGGGTAAAGAGTATTCATTTTTATCATTTCTCTGTGTGAATCCATTAAATTCACCATTTTGGGTTTACTTTTTTGTCAACAATTTTACAATGAATTGTGATGGAATCAATATTGTTTAGTAAAATTTTGTTGACATTTCAATGTGATTATTCAGGTTTTTTTTCCTTATTTTCAAATGGTAAATTTTATTGTCCATATAACCGCAACTCTTTTTGGGTTTAATGTTACAGTTTTGCTCTTTTTTTTGCTTCATTCATTTTCATGACCATCTTGATTTAATGATTTTACTGATTTACACTTTCACCTCTTATGTTGTTTGGTTAATTTAATATCAGTGATTGTTTTATTGAGCTATCTTTATGTTACCCTTATAAGTTAGTCTAATGTTGATTGTTCATTTGGGATTAATGTTGAACCTTTTTAAGCTTAATGCACTGCAATTTGGTTGGAAAGTGAATCAACCTCTAAATCCTAGACTTTTTTCCCTTGCATTAACTGTTCATCTCTATTAAATGTGATAAATCTAGAGATTGATTCAGCTTGTTCTCATCTAAAACCAATAGTTAATCAGGATAATTTAAACAACATTTGCTGATTTGAGAGTCGCAATTATACAATGATTGGGATAAAATTGAAAGTCGATTCAAGTTGTTGGCTCTAATGTAAAATGATAACATTTCATGTTACCATGTTACTATTATCAGGATGGAATGAATTTTGAATAGATAATGGTGAAAAAGAGTTAAATTGTTATATTTGCTTTTTAAACAAAAAGCTTCTTAACGTACAAAACTTGTTTCCTGTTTGACTCTTTCCCTTGCTCTGCTGAATTCAACTCATCTAACCAGAACTTTGATCTTCATGTGCATTAACACTTTTTTTTTGTTTATGAAAAAATTTATAATCATTATGGTTCAGTAATCGGGAGACTTCCTTGAAAAATATCCATCATTATGCACAAAATGGTAATGATGACAACAATGGCTCTTCAGGGTTGATTCTTGAAAATCTTTATCTCTTTAGGGTTGAAATTTGAATTGATGTATGTGATTGTTGGCCAACAAAATGGGATCATCATTTGATATTTAGGCAGCATATCCATCATTTTACTCTTATCCTGTTTATTGCAGTTTAAACAAGCAATTTGAAAATAAGATTAATTGTTTTAAGAGGTTATAATAATATAATTAGCGTGTTGGTAATTTACACTTACTTTGAAATCATTAGAGTTTAACGATTAAAGTTAACTTTAACCGATTTTATGGCCAAGAATCAGATGAATTTGATCAATTACATTAACTACAGTTATAGGTGGGTTTAATTCTGGTTTTTTATGTTAATCTGTTTTAAACATTTTGCCTGTTCCTTGAGCTCCATTTAATCGCCTCGGATTCTGTGGTAATCTGGTTAACTGGTTATTTCCATTGAAAGTGTTGGGAAATGATGGCTGTCCCATTGGCAAAGTGTCAAAAATTAATCTTCATTACTTGATCATCTCGGCTGCATTTAGACAGATTGTTTATGAATCGAGTATCAGATGATTAAAGAGAACTAAAGGAGAAAAGGAAAAAAATAGAAACATTAACTTTTACAATTCTATGGAAAATCAAAGCTTATTTTTACCTTCAAGAATGTTCACCATCATCTCCATCATCGTGTTTGTCATCACCATCAAGGTTATTAAATATAAATCAATTTAACCATCATCAATCAATATCTAAATAGTTTTGCATAAAGTTAACCATAAAGATGCATTATTTTCATCAAAGTCAGAAAATATGAGATGATTTATAATTGTTTACGGTTATAAACAACACATTTGAAATATGAGAATCAGCAATTCAGGAATTCCTTGAGGCTTTGTTTGTTGTTAAACGGTAGTATCTTGGGAAGCATCAGGATAAGAATAGTTATTTACCAGAATGAAAAGGTTCCATCAGTTGATTAACAGTTTAATAAAATTAGTGACTCCAGAATGGTGACCATTTTGTATAGTTTGACTGTTGCATGTTACCAGTTTATCACATTAAGAGATGCTAGGTAAATAATGTAAAGGTTAGTTAATAATTGAGATTGGATGAACATTGTGAGTATACACTCATACTGTACATTGTGTATGTTTCAATGAAGTGGTCAAGTTGAAAGGAAGAGGAAATGGTAATTGTCAGGTTGATAGATGTTTTATGTCAAAGTAAATAAGAGTTCAATGTTATCGTTAAATATTCACATGGATTTAAAACATTTCCGTCAACCATTAATCAAAAGGTACTACACACCAAATTAATAGGTAAAAACCACTCATTAAAAAATCACTGAAAATAAGTTGTCAAAAAAATAAAAATAGCTTAAGCTTATATCGCTTACCTAACGATCGACATCCAACGGGAAACCCTCCATTTGAAGATTACATGTATGTGTGATTGAAACGACATGTATTGAGCATCATTGACAGGGGAAATAGAAATTTAACTTCAATGAGTTATTTAATCAACCATTTTTTGGATAAGTATTTAATATGGAAGACATTTCATGAAAGTGTTTGCTTTCAACAGTCAAGAAGCTCAGTAGTCTTCTTGTACTTGAATTAACTGGTTTGAAATGAAAATAGTTGATGGAGGTGTTACTTCTCAATACAATCATCGGGTTCTCAGATTATTCAATTATTGATTAGTCACAGATGAAAAATAAATTGATATTAATTTAACAAAATTATACAAAACAAATAAACAAGAAACAATCAATCGCAAAAATTTTCTTATGTCGCCATCTTCTGAAAAGAATGGCATTAATTAAAAAGAAAGAGATTAAAATCCTTTCTTTAATTAATAGAAAGGGTTCTGCTTCTTTCTTGTGAAATGGCGCTTAATACTGTTGAATGTTATTACTTAAGACTTTGCTTTAAAATGTGATAATCAAGTTATTAGTTTAATTGTGTATTTATTTTGTTTATTGTTCTTTTAATTTTCAGTATTACTGGCTTTGGCTTCTCAAAGGATCGAGACAAATGCATTTGATATTTTTGGTGTTTCTTCAAAAGAAGAAGCTATTACTAAACGTGGAGCTCCTCCAACCTTAATTGAGCTTATGGTTTTAGCCTGGGTTTTAGGTAAGTAATTTTCATTTGAAGCACAGACATCAAATTGTCATGAAAATCTCTGTTTTCCCGTTCTAGGTTTAATTTGGAGTGAAATAAAGCAACTCTGGGAGCTTGGCTTGATGGACTACCTCAGTGACATGTGGAACATATTAGATTTTATTACTAATTCACTCTATGTGGCGACAATTGCATTAAGAGTCATTGCCTACACACAAGTAAGCATTCAACCTATTCATTAATATTATTTCTCAGAATTGAAGATTCATTTCACCTAACTGTGGAAACCCTTTGAAATTGAGTTTCGCTTCAACAACTTTTGCTTGAAACTTTTTTTCACCACTAAATAGGTTGAACATGGGTTCCTCATTTCTGAGATTTAAAAAGAAATAAAGGAGTTTGCTTTCCTCAAGTGCTTTTTCATTATCTTTGGGAATTACTTTATCAATTGAATCTATTGGCAGCTTGAACATCTATCTTATTATTTTAGCGTTAGTAAACATTGTTACAAAATGGTTTTATTGCATCTAATAATGGTGCTAATAAATTGGTTAACTTTATCCCTTTATTATTATTATTTCCTGTTGCAATAAACATAAATTTGATTCCAACCATAATAGTCTAGTCTAAAACAAATTCTTGTGAGGAAACCAGCTAAAGCGAGAATAGTTAAGTTCAATCAGTTTAGATATGGAATAGTCTTTGATTGATTGAAGCACTTCTATTTTTTCATAAATTTTTTGCTTTCTTTATTGCTTCGTAATTTTTTCATCAACAAAATAATTCACTGAGGTTATCACCCTCATTTTGCCTCCCAGCATAAACATGATAATAAAAATTAACACATGAAAATAATTTTATTAATAATAAAAGGATGCAAAAAAAAGTGTGAATAGATCGAAGAGAAAATGAATAAGATGAAAAGTGAAATGCTGACAGATTCATATTTCTACGATAATGAAAAGCCTTAAACTTGCTTATCAAAAATCTATCAATAGGGACTGATTGATTGATGAAAATGAGTTGCTATAAGAAGTATTTCAAATTTAAGTTGATGAAAGTTTATATGAAATATGAGTGAAACTTTTTTAGTATAAAATTTTGAGGATTCCATACTAATAATTAATGTCTTTGATCGTTTCAGGTACAAAAAGAAAAAACAATGCACACTGGAACTGCCCTTTTACCTCGTGAATCTTGGCATGAATTTGATCCCATTCTACTGGCTGAGGGACTTTTTGCCGCTGCCAATATATTCAGTTCACTCAAACTGGTTTATATTTTTTCCGTCAATCCCCACCTGGGTCCACTTCAGATAAGCCTTGGACGCATGGTTGTGGACATTTTAAAATTTTTCAGCGTCTACATTTTGGTACTTTTTGCCTTTGCCTGTGGTATGAATCAACTTTTATGGTACTATGCGGACATGGAGAAACAAGTGTGTGACAGTGGAAGCCGCAATGCAACAATCAATGTTAATAGATTAGTTATTACCGGACCAATCAGTGGAACTGGTTTGAATAAAACATTTGTGCCCAAATCAGCAGCCGAAGCCTGCCTTACATGGAGAAGGTTTGCCAAGTAAGGAAATATAGAAGCGAAATATTCTAAATTCATTTGAAACATTATTAATATTGTTATATTATATTTCCTGTTCTCATTTCTAAAACTCACTCCTCCATGCTTGCTTCTAAGTTTCCTCTTTCTGTCTTGACATTATTTTTTGCATTGTAACTTACAAATAACCTGAAAACCTTTAACCTTATGAAAAGCACTTGCACATGGAAACATATAATACAACGTAAAATCAATTCAAGTTAATTTAATCAATCAATTACTCTTGTCCAATAATAGTCTAAATCTATTTAGAGTAAACTCTTACTGCACTTTCTTGCTCTTATTGTTTTCATTGTTGCTACTTTCAGCTAAAATCAGTTATTCTGTACATTACAATTACTTTAATGGTCAGATGAGCATGAAAAACATGAAAGATTCAACTATTGGAAATAACTTTGAGCTCACAGTAAAAAATTGTAAAAACAATCTTTGAGTTTACTTTTACCACAAAACTACCTTTATTTTGACCATTAAATTTAAATTGTAATCGTTTAAACATTTTACAGAAAGAAACAATTGATTGATTAACAAAGATTAATGACCGTTCCTACTTTTTTTCATGTTAACCCGTTTTTCCTGCTTTCTTGTCCTCGAGTCACTTTTTTCATCTCATTCTCATCAAATAAGACTCTTCCTCAATCAGAATTAATTCTGTTCCCATGAGATAATGTCCTCTGATAGATGATATTATCTGTTCATCCATTCCTATTCGACCCTATTAAGGTAACACCCAATATAGATGAATAAGAAAACGTTTCTTTTTTTCTTGGTTATTGGGTCATTTCAATAATATTTCCTCAATAATTATCTCAAATGATTCATAATAATTATAACTCACCTCTTGACCTTATCTTTTTTTCTAGTCTATTTGAATCAACACAGACACTTTTCTGGGCAAGTTTTGGTCTCATTGATCTGGAAAATTTTGAATTAACAGGTAAGCAAATGACAAATTTATCACTAATTACTAATATTCATCTGATTCTATTCTAGATTATGTACACGTGAAAGTTACTTCAAGCTAAATTTCAAACGAATGAATCGCCACTTGTTTGTTCATTATCATTAGGTCACTTTGAGGCTCTCTGGTTCATGTTATTTCATTGATTTTGAGGAAAGTGAAAATTCTGATCACACACACATCCAGTTTAACCATGTAAACAATAGTAGGAAGGAAAAGCAAACCTCACCCTTTATTATTATCATTCCTATTATAATGTTAATAATAAATTGTTGACGGGGAGTTGACCAAATTAAATTATTAATCTTTCTTTTCATCTTCAGTTATCTTCTTGTTTTCCCTTTTCTTCCTATTCTACCTTCCACTTTGTTATTTTCATTCAAATGAATGATGAACTTTTCTTTTCTCGGGTGGAGACTAACATTATTAAATTCATCCCCCAACGTTTCATATCATGGACTGAATGGAGTCAATCTTCCGTGTGTGAAGTGTAATTAACCTAATATTTTGTTTTCAGTCAAGAATCATTTACCTTTTTCCCCATTAATCTACTTTGTATTCATTTGCATTTCAATTTCAATTAGTTGTAATTTTAAATATTTCAAGTATCCTTAATGAACCGTTTCTAATTATCCTTTTCAAGTTCAAATTTCACTTTTCAATTTTTCACCAATTTCAAGTTTTATTCAGTTATAAATTGCAGATTTTTTTCTCATCAGCTTCCAATGATCGACATTGGTTGACATTCATGAATTTTGATACCTTGCAGTCTTTAAATTTGATTTTGTTGTATTATCATTTTTTGATAGATTTTCATCTCGAATCATCTTATTCACTATAAATCAATATCAATCCATTCAAATGATTTTACCTCTTTTACAGTCAAAAAACGTTTTTCAATTGAATTTGATATAAATGATGAACAAATTACCTTAAGGTGAAATGAAAGGTGATTCAAATTGTTTGCCTATTTGTTTGGAGTACCTTTTACAAGCATATTAAATTGGAGTTTTACTTTCAACCAAAAAGCTTAACAGTTAATATTTGTTTTCCAGAGGATACATGAACTTATTTAATATTTATGATAGCGATTAATTGCTGATTTTCTATCATCTATTCTATTCAATACTATTCATCTATTTTTTACTAATCTTATGTTATTTTATCCTTTTCATCCTTTCCAGGTATACAAGCTTATACTCGATTCTGGGGACTTTTAATGTTTGGATGTTACTGTGTGATCAATGTTCTTGTTTTACTTAACCTTCTAATTGCCATGATGAACCATTCCTACCAAATAATTAGTGTAAGTATTAACAATTAAAGAGTACAAAATTACAATGGATTGCTAAACAAGTATGCTGTTAGCCACAAGCACACAATTGAATGACAAAGTATCACACATTGTACATTGTATTTGCTTTTACACTCTGATTATTGATTTTGGTTAGTTACAGGTTATCTGGAAAGGTTATTGCTATTATGAAAATGGTTGAATTAAAGCTACCAAAAATGATTGTTAATTAACTGTTAACAATGAGCATAGTTAAATGTTAACAAATTAACTGTGCATTTTGTTTAAATTGAATGAAAATTGATTAAACGGTTAAACAATTTGATTCCAATAGCATTTTGATTGAGGCAAAAAAAGAGTTGTAACATTACCTTTCCTTTTTTTGTGGACAATCAATTTATCATTGACCTTTGTTAACCTAAACTTCCTGGTTCATTTCAATATTCAGTTTAACCCCTTTTTTTCTTTACTTTATTAGAGTTATCAACCTCATCATTGGTCCAAGCTATTAATCAAACTGAATTACCTTTAATCTGTCCAAGTTTATCAATCAAAGAACAGGCAATTGATTGAATCAAACACTCTTTTATGTTAAATCAAAGGCAGCTTCAGATTTGAACATTTACGAGTCAGATAGCTTATTAACATTGAATGAATCATGATACAATATTTATCTTGTCAAATTTGTGTTTACAATTAATCGACTCGTCAGACAATTAGCTAAATTGAATCTTGACCACATCTGACAATTTTCCTGTCCATTTGTTAAGCCACACAAGCTGAATATTTTAAGCTTTGTCTCAACTAATCAAATTCAAGACCCACGAGAGTTTAAATAAGGTTTTGTTAATAAAACCAGTAACTTTCGTTAATTGACAAGAATCGATTGGCTAGATTTTATTGATTATTTCTAATTACATTGACTAGAGATGAGTAAAATGAGGATAACCAATTGTTCCAATTTTGTCCCACTTTTAGGGTTAGCTCACAAAAATTAGACCTTTTGGTCAATTATTAACATATCATTTTCTCAATAATTGCCTCAATTAAATTAACTCAAACTCAACCATTCATTCAATCAATTTTGATGAACACAATGTATTAATATTATGGTTAGATTGAAGTGCTTGTTTCATTGTTGAATCAGCTGTCTACTCCATAGAAACACTTATTTAGGCTTGTTTAGGTATCAATACATGTGTATCTAATTAAATGTGGTTTTCTTGTGCTCTAATTATTCAAATTGATTCAAAATGTACATTCCTTTCCATTAATGTGTTATTCATCTATTAAATCTATTAGGAGCAAGCAGACACTGAATGGAAATTTGCAAGAACCAAACTGTGGATGTCTTATTTTGAAGATGGTGCGACGGTTCCTCCTCCATTCAATGTAATTCCAACTCCTAAATCAATGTATTATTTAATCAGATGGATATTTAAAAAGTTTTGTGCACAAACACGATTTGCCAAGAATGAAGCTCTCAAAACAATTAGGGTATGTCAATTTATTTTCAAACCTTAAGGTTCAATAATTTTCATCATTTTCCCTTTTTTCCATAAATAAACTGTATTTTCATTGTAATATCTAATTATACTTGAACTAGAATCAATCAATACATTGAGCAATCTTATTCAGATGATTATCTACTAGGACTAATAATCATCTCCAAGTATCAATCATAAGTTTTTCAGCTGATCAGTTCGTTTTATATATTGTAATACTTTGAAAATACAGTTGAATAAGTTCTTCTTCTCACCTAGCTTTTGTTTACATTATTGATTTATTTTATTGATTATTTATTTTGTCTGTTTTTTTACTTATCTCATCGTAACAGAGGAAAGCTCGACAAGCATCAGAACGTGACTATCGTTATCAAAATGTTATGCGATTATTGGTTAGACGGTACATTACAAATGAACAGAGAACGGCTGAAAGACAGCGCGGTGTTACAGAAGACGATTGTAATGAAATTAAACAAGATATTTCGGCTCTTCGTTATGAAATAATTGACCTACTTGGACGTGATAAAACCGCATCAGGGACAAATCTTGCTGTTGGGCGAAAGGGTCGCCAGAGAGAACGGAGGTTAATGAAAGGCTTTGACCTTAATTTTCTCTTTATGGAGCCTACAGCTAGTTTTGATGAAGATGTCTATGATTTTGAAGATCTTGACTGTAATCAGCCAATGGTTAAATCTAAATCATCACGGAGTCGATTTGTTCGCCTGGCTCGTGGCTTAGCTGGTAAACGAAGTCGTGGTAATAACCGTTGGAAACAGCTTATTGAAGCCACTCGAAGTAAAGTAATGCCTTTCTCTCGGAGCTCAGAATCAGTCAACAGTGAGCCATGTGGAGATAATTCCAAATCAAGTGCAGTTCCAGCAAATTTATACAGAAGCCCGAGACCAGGCAATTTGCCTACCGGTAAGTTGAGCTCATAGAAATTTGAATTGCTTTTCAATCTTCTTATCTAATTATTTTCTTTTTCTTTCCAATAGCTCAAAGTTTTGATGCTAATGTAAGGCGAAACATATTTGCCAAGAAAATTACATCATTTTTAAAGGAAGAATCTTTAACGGCTGAAAATGATGAAGAAGTAGAAGTGCCCAAACCAACGAAATCAGAAGAAGTTAATCAACCTCGAACAGAAGCAAGCAGCCAAGTGATAAGTGTTTCTCACAATAATAATCGTAAAGAATGGATTTGAAACGAGTGATCTTTTTTTATTTTTATTTCAAAATTATTTCCAAACGAAACTTGACTTTTATTAATTGTTTAAATACTCTTTCGTCAAATGGTTGACAGTAAAAAGCTGTAAAATTATTTTATAAACTGGCCCGATTGCACAAATTCAAAGTATTAAAATTTGGAGGAATCTGAATCAAAGCGTGAGAAGAACAATCAAGTGCACAAAGAAAATTGAAAGAAATTTAATTTAATCAAACCAAATGTAAACCATATGATATTTGATCAACATTTCCTGTTCTGTTTCAAAGCGCCTCCTTAATTGCAATTATTTTTTTCTGTTACCCATTTAAATTGATGGTGAAGAGTAACTGGAAGATTCAATCTTAAAGACAATGGATTTAATGTGCATTAATCAAAAACCACTGATCATTCCTTGACTGAAATTGGTTCAATCAACTAAATTGGAATGACAATTGGAAACAATCAAATTAGACTGATCAAATTAAAAATTTGATCTTACTAGTCATTAATTAATCATTAAAACAGTTTAATGTCTAGAAGAAGCAGAAAAACGATATAATTTGTTTGTTAATTCGTTTATAATTTGGCCTTAGCAAATAACTTCTGGAAATCAGATCATAGTTAAAGTAACCTGATATTAATGAAATTAATACCAAGGAAGGAATGAAGAAAATTGTTTATCATCCAACCACAAAACAGTCATCGAACCTGTTAGATGTACAAAAAAGTGCCGTTAACCAAAAATGATCACAAATTAGTGGAAACATTTAAAGCTGGCTGAGAATATATAATTTATTGATTACATCGAAACGATTTAACAGTATTGACGATTTGATAGTATGAAGCTATGAAATCGTAAAGTAAATTTGTATCTTTATTCATCAAAACTGTGAATTTAAATAACACTTTGAATGCATACGATTGAAGGTGAAAATTGTAAAATTAAACCAAACGAAATAAGTTATGTAATTTTTGTATTTAAAGGTTGATTAAACAATTAAAGATGATTCAAGTTGCGTATAGCTTGTGTTGATAATTTTATTACTGAATTGAAAACCCATTTTGCATCCGAAAAAGTTTAAATAGATAAATCATGATTACTTGAAATCAGAGAAAATATTCAAATGAAACTAGAAATTAGATTGAAATTTAGCTCAAATAAAAATTTGAATCGAATGTTATTTCAATATTTAATGATTGATTATCGAGTAATGGGGCGAAATACAATCTGAATATTTCCACGGTTTTAAAGAAAAAATGAGATATTCAAGATTTATTCATTAATTTCAATTGTTATTTTAATCCTGCAATGAAATAATTTCGTTAAATTTTTATTGTAATATCAAGTTTCGATTAATTGCTTTAGGATCGATACTTGGTAAACAGATCGTACTTATGAGATTTTCCCTCAAATAAAATGGGTTTTGCTTAAATTGAACTCTGTTCAAGGTGTCATTGGAATTGAATCAGCTTTTGATTCTGTTTATTTATAAATAATTTTTTTGCTCTTGCTAATTGTTATCAAATTTTAATTTTACGATACCCTTTAATACATTAGTAACTCACGATGTTTAAATTTGTTCCCAGCTTGCGATCTATGATTCGGACAAATGTGAAGGAAAGGATAACCGTTCATGCTGAAGAGCCTGAAGAAGAAGAGGAACTTGTAGACCCATTGGATACTCTTCGAGATAAATGTAAACCTCATTGCAAGGAATTGCAAGCAAAGATGGACACCTGTAATATAAGGGTTCGATCGAAGAAAGAAACTACTGAGAGTTGTTGGGAAGAGATGATGGACTGGATGCATTGTATTGACCATTGTGCATCTAAGGATCTCTTCAAGTATTTAAAGTAACCTGTATCTTAGAAATAAGCTTCACTTTGTCCTTAAAAACCTTTATTCTCTATGAAATATGTTTAGATAATTTTGTCTTTTCGTTTGCCTTTTCAAGCTTGATTTCTTCACTTGAATTGGTTGTTATTAAAGTTATTAATTGGTAAACTGAATCAATCGTGTCAACCCTATTGTGAATCAAGTAGCTCGGTAGTCATGGTGAAACTTTCAAAAAGAGTTTTATTTATCGGTGGATTAAATTAAAATTGCTGTAAGCATTACACAGTATATCCAAATTGATATTAATTTAATTTTTCAGCAACAAATCGATTTTAATAAAGTTCTGATGTTGATATCTTCCGACAACTTAATTTCTTGACGTCTCGGACATTCTACAAATGTTATCAAACCTAATTTTAACCATTATTATATCCATACTCATTGTAATACTAGACCAATCTGTGGGATAAAAGAAAAACGTAAACAAAGAAAAGTTAGAAAACAATTCGATTTCCAATAAACAAAGATACAGAGTATAACAAAATATGAAAGGCTTTTCGAATTTAGAGAGCATCTTGCCTAAAAGTTCAATTGCTATCGAAGTGTCAACTTTTTGAAGAGTCTTACAGTCGATTCCAATTGATTACAATATAAACCATGTGTTGAGGATGAGTCTGAATAAACAAATCGCTTTCTCTGTGGGATTCAAACATAGTGACAAACAGTTGACATCAACAAAAATATTGATATCACGATCTATCCGATAACATTTGTCCTGTTTGCCGCAAAAACTATTCTGCCTAATACCTGATATTAATCGAGAGCCGCAGATTTTTTGCCATACAGGTTAAGTGAATGATGTATTCATTCGATGTATACTCTGTATCAATATCTGAGATAGTTCTGTAACGAATATTGCAGTACAACTACAAACAATTACCTTTTCAGGCGTGATAGAAGGACACTTCCAATTGTAGAGGTAATACTGAAGGCTTCCATCACCTTTTCCAAATTTCAGATTTTCTAGAAACTTTTGATTTTCCATCAAATCAAGAGCATTGAACACATCATGATCGGCCTAAGATAAAAGAGGCATAGGAGAATGATTAGATTAAAATACCAACGTGAAGCACAAAATTTGTTATCAGTGTAGCTTACATTTTTTGCTATAATCAATGCATCTTGCATAAGATCTCGCAAATCAACGTCTGGTGATGGTACATTATAAAAAGAATAAGCAGCTTTAATTGATTTATATGTTGGATGGTGCATCACGGTTGAAGGCAACGTATAAAAGCTTGTGAAGCCTACAATTTGGTTGTCTTTCTGCAAAAAAACATGGAACAAATGAAAATGTATTAAAATAAATTCAAAATTGCATACTTGATGAATTGAACTTCAATCAAGAAACTAGGGATAAATTCAAACGTAATTAAAGCATTAAATGTGAACGCTTTAATACAGAATGAATAATGATTAAGCTTACTTCAACAACATAACTATCAACGACTTCATCTCTTGGCATGAACCAGTGAGTGCACTCTTCAATGGAGAACTGAGGAGCTAGGGCAAACTGGCGAAGATAATCATTGAGTATTTTCTTAACTTTTGGTATATCTTTTTTTTGAAGCTTCCTAAGTCCAGGCAATTTGGGATCCTAAAGGATAAATGAGAAATTCGATTAGATAAAGGTTACCGGGAAAATCAAAATATACTTACTGCAGGTAATTTATAAAGCTTGATTGTTCTCGCCATTGTCATATTTCTGGTTAGATGGCTGAACTTGACTTCAATCAATTTCTTTGGGTTTAGAGATCGATGCCAATAACGGCATGAACCAACAGGCTTGGGTAATACAACACCAGCAGTATAAATTGCTTGGAAAATACCATGCAGATTAACTCGTCGAGTAATTTCTCTAATCAAAACTGGAGCCATTCTTTTGGACCGCAATTTCTTGTGCACGCAGAGGAAATTTATTTCAACCATTTTGATTGCATTTTCATAGAGATGGATGGTAGCTGGAATTGCACTTATGAAACCAACCAGTTTATTATTCTTGACTACTCTAACTCCACAATGCCAATTTTGGACCCAATGAGGTGGTTTAAGAGCCCATTTCAGAAATTGAGGCGAATAATCAAATCTAAACATGTTGTCATCATCTTCCACGTAATTCTCGTTTAATAAAGTATAAAGTTCTTTGAGCTGGTCATCATTCTCAATATCAAGCGTATCCCATTTGAATCCATCTAGTAATCTATAAGGCTCTTTCTTTATTTGGTCATTAGATTTGTCTGCTTCTATAGGCTCTGAGGAAGTAACTTCTTCGTCTAGTTTAGGAACAGGTTGCGTTTGCCAGAATTCATATTTTCGTTTATCCTCATGAAGACACAACTGTTGAAGTTGACACAAGTTTGCATCATTTTGTGTAGCTGTTGCTGTTGCTGTTGTGGTCGATGTTGTTGTTGTTGTTGTTGTTGTTACTGTTGAGGAAGATGAAGAAACACATGAGACAGTAGGAGAATCAGATGGTGATGATAAAGTTGAATCACCATTATCATTTGTTTGTAAACCCTCTGAAGACATCTTAAACATAGACTAAATGAAGACCAAATGAAAATAGTGTTTAGGCGATTAATTTTTTTTGAGTAAAAGTATCGATACTTTGCCGATAATACTCGATACCAGTCAAACGAGTAATCAGTATCGCGATTCGCGAAAACCAAATGATTCAAAATAGGGAAACTGCGTTTGCGCACTCAGCGTTTGTCGTCTTGTAGCCACATCTAGTGAGGAATAACAATTAAAATAAATTACAACCAATTTAATAATTGAAGACCATAAAATCCATAATATATACTGAAAGCCAAATGAATAAAATAAATGCAAATGAAAGAAAGATCTACAATTAAATGCTCGATTTGAATCAAAATGGTGAATGACAGAAATAAGGAAAGTTTGTATCAAAAGATGGCGCTTATGTGAGTTAAAAACAAGTAAAAATGTTTTCGCTGTTGGAAAGAAACGCTAAAAATGAATGAATGTAACTTGCTTGATGAACCAATGAGAGAAGTGAAAGATGATGAAGAAAAAGGTTCAAGATAAAAAGGAAATGAGCAAAAAAGTGAGAGAGATTGAGGTTACTTGTTTATGTTGAAGAGACTGTAAAGATGGAGGCTAATTGAGTGAGTAGAAGGGAGCAGGTAAAGGAATAAAAGCTAAAAATGAAAGAAGAAATGAAAGGAAAGGAAAGAAGGAGATAAAAAGAGAAGATCAATGAATAAACAGAACAGAGGGGGAGGAAAAGAAAAGGTTTTTTCATGAAATGTTGCTGAAATTAAAAACAAGTCCCGTAAAGCATTAACAATGAAGAGAGATGATGAGTGAGATGAGAATTAAGGAGAATAAGAGAGTTAAAGAGATGGAATAGAAAGGGAGAGAGAAAGAGAAAGAGAGAAGGAATAGAAGCAAGACTAGTTTCGAGGGAGCAAAGAAGGTTAAGAGTAAGATAAAGAGTAACTTACGAAGTGAGGCTTGAAAAAAATTATTTAGTGAGACCAGTCGACCAATGAGAGAAGTGAAAGATGATAAAGAAGAGACGATGATGATGATGATGATAATGGAAAGATTCAAGATAAAAAGGAAATGAGCACAAAAAGTGAGAGAGAACGAGGTTAGTTACTTGTGTTGAAGAGACAGTAAAATGGAGTTTGACTGAGTGAGTAGAAGGGAGAAGGCAAAGAGAAAAGAGAGAAAAGAAAGAGAAGATGAAATGTCAGCTTCAACACACGCATTTATACACAAGATTATAATGATGATGGAAGGGAAATAAATGTTGTTGCTTAGCAACCAAGGTTCGTGTTGAGAAAAATAGACAGAGAATGCGAAAGAGAAATATCTAAATCTTTCTTTCTTCAACATTTAATTTTATCCTATTCAATGTTAACTGAGCAAACTCAAACAACATTAATTGTAACTTTTATTCAATAACAAATTGAATCCTGTAGAGTTAACGATTAAAAGGAGCGATTTGGATTGTGGACTTAAAAGCCTTTGGTTCGTTCACCTTCGAGACAATTGCTTTTATTTAAATGATTAGTTATAAGTTAGTTTTTGTTATCTTTTCAATAGGATAATGTTAAATGTCTTTAGATTAAACATTTATTGCCTTTGCTTCACAAATACAATAATATTGTTAATCGGGAAAAGCGGAAAAATCAAATTATTTCACTAACTGTGCCTATAAAATTAAACTAGACATTAATTAACACTAGTTTATCGTGAGTTTATCATGATAGATTAGTTATCAAATAGAAAAGAAGAGCCAAAATGCGGTTTAAACTCATGTGGAGTGCGCCATCATGAATCAAAATGCTGAAAGATTATGTTTATGATTAATTGACAAATGAAATGATTAATGGATTGACACTCGACTAACAGCTAACAAGACTAAAAATGATTAAAGAGTCAAGCTTATTGAAGGTCATTTATAGAGCCAATCAAAGGCCTTCAATCGCCAGTGACCTTTAGATGCAACTATAGCTTATAAAGTTTCATTGACTTTAAACACTTCCAATGTGAACATCATGTTTCAGTCTTTACATGGACAGATTTCATTCACAATTGAACTCAAAATATCAATGAAACTTGATGCACCATCTTCAAACCCGGAAGAATCATTGAATCGTTTTGTTTGATATTCATCCAAATCATTGAATAACCTTACAATAAAACTCGTTTGTTTGAGACAGTGTTAGCGAATGAGCGAACACCAGAGCGATTGAATGAGACTTAATTTTTGTTCAGAAATCAGGAATCTCTTGGTTTAATGAAACGATTTCGAGAGACTGACAAATATCTTAGGAACCACTTCGCTCACACGGAAAAGCCTACAAAGCCTAAAGTTTTTCATAACTCAATGTCCTCTATCGATTAACACCTCATTCATTAAAGTTGAATAGTTGTACTAAAAAGTTTATCTGATCGACAGTTTTTGATAGAATCGAGTTCAAAGTTCGATCACTTATTATAAACTCATGGAGCCAAATTTATCATTAAACTAAATTAACTTCAAGTAAATCAACTGTTAAACATGATAAATATGATTAATTTGCAAAGATCATTGAGAAAACAAGATTCAATTCCAAGATAATCAAGTTGAAGTCCATCCACAAATGATGGAAGTTAAATAATTTAATGAAGTAAACTTGTGTAATCAACTGTTTAACTTGCATTGTTTAGATTGCCATTGAATTAGTTAACAATTAAAGCAGAGAAACGATCAAACAACTTGTATAACATGTCATGGTGTTATGGTGGATGCGATATTAATTTTCAGTGACTATTTTGTTTAATTTATTATTATAACTCAAAACTTTAGGCTTCGATATTTCGAGAGCTACACACGTACGGTAACACTTTCAACCCTTATTTTTTTGCAAATTATGTTTTCTTATGATCGGTTTGGGTTCAAAGCAGCAGAAGCAAATGAGCAAAAAGTTAATACCAATTAAATTGCCGCTTTTCATTACAACTTATTGAAGAGTTGAAACTTCATTTTCACCGATTTGACTGATAATAATCAGACATTTTTTCGCTTTATTTACCCATAACTTTCAAGTTGTCCAATAAACGTCCTTTGTGTGCCAAAACTAACTCCCCATTAAGGGTCAAAACAGCAGCAGTAAAACAGAGGTCAAATAGTGAAGACGAAATAGCGAAGAGTAAAATAAAGAAGCTAAATAATTAAACTGATTAAAGTTTTTTCTGAAAATAAACACAATGCTTTAAAAGCCTCAAACTGAATTGGCTCAATTTTTTCATTCAGTTTGGCCTTTTTATTCAAATCTATAACAATCAATTTATTTTCTCAGTCATCACTAATTACAAACTGTTTAAATCCAGGAAAAGGTGTAAAAATTTCGCTTTTATAAAACAATGGTCATCGATATTTTCTCGCGTCTTTCTCGGGTTTGAGCTCAAACCCCCACTCGGTTTAAACCGATTCAGATATAAATTTATTGAAAGTTTTAATATTACACTAGTAGTCAGGGTTAGGTTAAGAAAAAACGAGATTCTTTTATAGTCGCCGTCTAACAAGAAATAAAAGTACCTTTAAGATCGAACTTAATTTTTCATAGACTTTTATTGCTTAGTGTTTCTTAAAACTGTAAATTCTCGAGATAGCGACACTTAAAAATTAACTCAACTCTGACTACTAGTGTTTAGTTTAATTTTAAACGTCGATTTGCTGTTCCTGTTGCGTCTCTCTCGGGTTCAAGCCCAGACCCCATTCGGTTTAAACCGATTCCGATACTAGAACTTTCAATAAATTTTTATTAATTTTAAAAGTCCATTTGCTGTTTTGTTCAACAACTCATGAGAATGAATAACCACCCACCTTTATAAATGAGGCAATACAACGCTATCTTTTCTTGAGTCATTTTATGCGTGAATATATTATTGCACATTGGATTGAAGCAGTGGCAATAATAGTCGCTTGATCAAATCAAAAAGGAGCAACACTTTTATTGTTCAACTAATGACTGACAAGATTGTGAGGTCAACTTTATCATAAGTCAATCATAAGTATTAAAAGCGTTGCTTAAAATGCTGAGTTTACTATTTATTTTTGGCTGTGATTTTATTGACATGAAAGAAATGAATGAAACGAAATTTATAGCCCAGTAATTTATAATTTATTATGTACATTTTGTAAAATTTAAGATTTTTAAACATGCAATTCAATATTAATTTATACAGTTTTAATTATCCATTTTTATCATTCTTCGTGCCATTTTCACGATTTGGACTGTTACATAAAGTTTCTTTGTAAAAACCTTTGACCCGTTCACCTTCATTGTTAGTAATTGATTTAACATTTCCATTAACATTGCCATTGACATTACCGTTGAGGTTAAAATTAAAACCGAATGAAGCATTGTTTGCTTGTTGAAGATGTTGCATCAAAGCTTCACTTGTGAGTTTCAAAAGCTTTGAATACTCTAAATATGCCATATTAGGAAATGTCGACTCATGATAAGATCCAGGTGAATGTCCTGAGCTTCCAGTAGCAATCGGAACTAGAACTGAAGATGGGTTGGCAAAATTTAAATGATGGAAGTGTTGGAATGGACCTGAAGGGATTGCATGAAGTCCTCCTCCAGATTTGTTCATATTTCGAGGATTACGAAGGTCAACAGGCATTGATTTTAAAGTGAATCCAGTTTGTGGTGAGTTTTTGTTGAGTGCGGCTTCCTTCTCATCGGCAATCAAAGCCTTTACATTAAACACGCTATCATTAGTTAATTGGTCATGATTCCCAATCATTTGTTGATGTAACTTATATTGTTGTTGTAGTTGTTGGTGCTGATGCTTCTGCTGCTGCTGTTGCTGTTGCTGTTGTTGTTGAATCTGCAAGTTTTTATGTTGACTATTTAATGTTTGCTTCTTTGATATTTTTACCATCTTTGATGGTCTATTATCAGTTACATTACCAGGTGATGATGAACTTGGTGATTCTCGTTGACGTTTATCGCCTTGACCTGATTGTTTTACCCTTTGCTGTTGATTATTCATTAAACGACTTATTGATGTCGATGTTGAAGTTGAGGTAGATGTGGGATAAAAGGATGAAGATACAACCTTTGTTGAAGTTGGGGTTGATGTTGATGTACACGAGTTTGAAGTCGATGTTAATATTGTTGATGGTTTTGATGAGGTTGTTGATGTTAATTTAGGTGAAGGTGATGATGATGAAGTAGACGGTGATGGTGAAGGTGCTATAGCTAAATGTGGTGATGAAGATGAAGAAGAAGATGAAAGTGATTTTGAAGTTACTGTTGATGATTGAGCAGAACTAACTGAAGGTGCTTTTATTGCATTTGCATTTGATGACTTTACTACTTTATCATCAACCTTATTACCATTGATCTTAACTTCACTATTAGTTGATTGGTTATTCTTGTTGTTATGAGACTGTGAATTTGTAACATTTGAATTTCCAGCTAATCAATGAGAAGATAATGAGTAAAGGAAAAAGTAAAATTATTTAGAATTTTATTTAAAGCTAATTTAAAGTTTACGAGATTATTTTCATGTTAATTTACCTGATACTGAATTTGTGATAACGGAAGATGGAGTTTTAGGTGTATTCACAGAGGTTTGTGAATTATTGGGTGAAATTGATGTTCCAACTGAATGTGAAGTCTTACAATTTTCATTGACATCTCGTGTTATTTTGTTCACGACATTATTAGAAGCTGCTTTATCAATAGTATTGATTTGAGTGGTAGATGCTTTTGGGCTTGTCGGTGCTATTTGAGTTGAAAGATAAAGAGAAAGAGCAGGAAGGATGAAAGGATGAAAGGGAGCAAAGAGGATGAAGATAAGGCGAGAATAAGAGGAAAAGAAAGAAGAAAAAAAGGAAACAAAAAAAGAGAGAAAAGAAGAGAAAGAAGAACGATAAGTTTTGTTCATTTCTTGTCATTCATTTTAAACTAAAAATATTGTTTTCATGTTTACCTGATGGTGATTTTGATGAATCGTTCTGGTTAGATGAAGTTACTGACAATTGTGAGTTCATTTTATCATTGACTTGAGATACTTTCATCTGTTTACGAGGTGCTTCTGATTTATCGGATTTGCAATCAGATTCTTTGCGCTTCTCACTTGCATTGTTCATTTGGCTCAAATGCTTAGAGATGAAATTGTTTTTAGCGCCATGCGAAGTTGTTGTTATCATCGTTGTAGCTGTGATCGACACTGA